TGCAGGGCTCCCTCCCATCTCTGCACAGCTGCCAGTGTAGCTGCTCTTGTGTGTGTGTGTGTGTGTGTGTGTATAAACAACCCTTTTATGATATAACCTGAGAGACCAACAGACATGTGTTGGCTCGTTCAAAGGGCTATAAAAGGGCTGACTTGGCAGTGCAGGGCGGTGCCAGGCTGTTCATGCACCGTGTTACTTTGGCCCCTGTTCAGCCAGTGCACTGTTTGTTTGCATTTGCTGGCAGTAAACTAACTCCAAATCATCGTGGTACCCTGGCACATGAAAAACTCTTCCTTTTGCTCCTCTGTTGCGATGCCTCCAGGATTTCTTGCTTCCTCAGTTACAGAGCAAGTGAATTCTCCCTTCGGATTTGCTTCCCTGGAAAGAGCACTTGCCATAGGGGGCCTATTGCAGAGGCATTTAACTGCCTGGCAGAGCCCTTTTGTGACACACACCTGTCAAACCTTTCACAGGCTGAAGCCACTAGCAGGCAGGTGACAGCAGCTGGGAGGGATTTGTTTCACAAGCTGTTCCTCCAAGGCAGATTGTTGATGCATCCACTGCCAGAGCAGCACAAGCTGTCTGGGGCAGGTAACCAGAGGTGCAGCTGGAGTGGACTTTGGATGCTTTCCTGACAGCTTGACCCCTGCCTTCTGTTTTCTCGATTGGTAGGTGCAGATTTCTCCTGGAAATAATGCTCTCTTGCCCCAGTGGACTGTGAATTCCTCTTGGGCTCAGCTCAGCAGACTTGATTTCACAATGTCTCGTTGGATCAAAATCATTTTCGTGCTTTGCTAGAGACTGACTAATCATCCTTGGGCTGTTTGAGCAGCCGGTACCCATTAGTGAGATGAATGAGTAGTTCTTCGAGCTGTTGACTTCTTACCCAGAACAACAATAAAGGTTCCTTGATGGGTTCATTTGTGGCTGTTATTTTGTTCCTGGCTGTTCCTAAAAATGCTATGAACCAAACTGGGAGGTACTTTCTTCCCCTGGCATAAATACATTCAATATGCTCAGAGAGACAATAAAAGTTCAATATGAGGAAGGGGTGAGGATCTTGTGCTGAGCAGGGACACTCTTTGTAGTATATATTTAAACCCCTACTGTGATGCAGCCCTTAATCAGCACTCCCAGGCTGTAATTAATAATCCTTATGTTTCCTGCCTGACTTACTTAAGAACCCATCAGTTTAGCCTGACTTTTGACATGACATTATAAATGATCAAGTTAATTTTTAGCCTAGTGAAGAATTTCAGCAAGATGGAGTTTGGGAAACACTGCTTGGGCTTCAGAGTGCTCCAAATGCCTCTTCCAAACTCTGCCACAGGGTGATTACAGAGCTCTGAATTTCTACAGCTGTAAAGTAAGAATGATGGGATTTACCTGTGTCAATGTACATGTACAATGGACCTACAAGAAAGGACAGAGAAATGTCTGGGAATATTCAGTGCACAGCCATTCTTGGGAGCTCCAGGTTCATCCAAGGCTTGCTGGAGTTGCTTGAATACTTGTAGGACTGGTCCCTGGTGAGGTATTTGGTGGGACTGGGGAATAATCTCATCCTCAGCAAGAGGAATCTGGGATTTGGAACCAACCTTTGCAGGTTCTGGAGGTGCTGCTTAGTGCATTAACCAGACCCTCTGGGGAGCTTCCTTGGATTTAGCATGGGTGATGGCAGCAACAACCCCCAGAGACACATCACCTGGGGGCACTGTGAGGTCCTGGAGGAATCTCCCTTCCCTGGGATCAGAATTCCCTGTGCAGACCTGGCTGTCACTTGCCTGCTGGACATTGTTCCAGCCTTGCAGTCCTGAGTGCTGGGGTGCAAAGCAGCTTCGTGAGGAGCCAGCAAGCTGCCTCAGCACCTGCAGTTCTACACACAGGAGGTTTTGTGTTTTCAATACTCTGTTAGGGTCAGGAGCAGCCCTTGGCTCCGTATCCTGCAGGAACAAAAGGATACAAAAGGTTCCCTCTGAACCTGCTGCACAGACAGGCTGATCCTGCGCCCTCCATATGGTCCCCAAAGAGAGCAGGACTTGCTGAGATCCTGCTCCCAGATCCACGTGGGCAAGTTTCCATAAGTTAATTTGCTTTGCTGCAACAGGCAGAAGCAGGGCCAGGTCTTCCCAAAAACCTCTGAGCTTCCAATCTGATTGTCCACACCCAGCATCTCTGGGGCTGTGCACACACCCCCTTTTGTAGTGCTGGGGACAGCCAGAAATTTGGGAGATCCTCTGTGAAAAAGGCCAAGGAGGGCGGGGTACTCATTTTAAATTGATGTTGAGTTGAAAATTATTTTTCTGCATAGTGGAAAGTAGAGTCATAAACTCCTTGTAGCATTAATCATAGATGTGTTTCAAGGGAAAGTTGTTATCTCTTGGTCTGTGCTGTGTTAGCAGCTGGAAATCCCAGCCCTGGCTGTGCTGTCAGGAGCTCTCCTGACACAGGGGAGAAGACAGCTCTTGTTCTGGAGAAAGAATAACACATAAAAGCAAATATTAGGTGGGTATGGCTGGTGGGAAACTGAGGTTCTGCTTGACAAGGTGAAGGCTGCCCCTCAGAGAGGGGTGAGAAAGCACAGGGAAAGGTTGGTTGGGACTGGCCAGTGTTTCTTTCTGTCACACAATGGACAGTTCAGTGTAACAGCTGCTCTCCTGCACTCCAGCTCCACGGGGATGGTTGCCCACGCCCAGCACTGTGGATGTGAGTGGATGGGACCGTGGTGTGATGGTTGTGCTGGGATGGAGAGCCCATCTTGCGTTCCATCCCCGCGCAGAGCACGGACAGCGCGCTCAGCTTCCACCAAAACAATCCCCCGGGCTGTCTGGGCAGGGTGATAATGTAAAAGGAATGCAGGGAGGGTAAGAAGAGAAAATAAGCATCCTGGGTAAAATCCTGCCTTGGTCCCCAGTGTGCAGTTCATGTTGGCTCCTCTGTCTCTCCTCCCGCCCTCCCTGGGAAGGGCAGGCTCTGCCCATACTTGTCATGCCAGTCACACACATGCTGGTGCACAGACTAACACCCTCCACAATAAATCTAAAAGATTAATTACCAAAAAAAAAAACCAACAAAAACACCCACCAAAAAATCCCACAACCCCACTTGCAGCATTTGAAATGCATCTCAGCCGTGCTCGGTTATTCATGGGGAAAAGAAATCACCTCCTGAATCGAGCAATTGAGAATGCAAATATCCCAGCCTGGCTCAAAAGAGGAATCAAGCTCTGTACTGTCAAGCTGATTAGCATCCCCTTGCATGGGGTACTGCCCTGAGCCCAGAGAGAAAATTTGGGGACAGCTGTGCTTAATGCTCTGGGATGAAGTTTCTGAGTTTTGCCCAGAGAGAAATTATAGTCCTGGTACTCCCCATCTGATGACAGACCATAAGATATGTTTTCTTGTTCAGTTCGGGGCGACTGCCCTTTCTCTGGTGAGATCTTTCAGCCCTTTGTTTCCTGTCGCTGACCAGCTGTTTTTTGTGAGTTGAGTTTTTTTGTTGTTGTAAAATTGAAGCTTTCTGCAGGCAGTGGAACAAAGATTTGCTTTTTTCTCTTGTGAGCAGGGAGGGAAAGTACGTTGGAGCAGTTTCTCATGGGAGTGGGACTTCTGCTTGCAAGAAGGATTTTACACTCTGCTTTGCCTTTTCTCCCCTTTCCCTGAAAGCAGCATAGATGAGTCTTCCAGAAAGACTAGGAATTATATCCTGAGCCCTTTCAGTCCCTATCCCAGCAGTGGGGTGGGAAATGCAGCGTCTGGGAGTCGACTAGAAATATTCGGCAAGAAACAAAATGAATCCCAGTCTGCTCCTTGTTGTCATGTCCCAGTGAACCTAAATCCTCTATAACATTCCTTGTTGCCTGTTGCAGATGTCAGAGGGGAAAATAAAACAAGAGCTTTCCCATTAAGTGCCGTTCATCTGTTATTTCCCACGTGCAGGAGCGGGAGCTTGGCTGGAAATGGTGATGGCAGTAACAGGCAGATCGTGCGTGGTCTTTTTTCCCCCAAAAAAAGCTGCTGTGCATCCTTGCTTCCCAACTCTGTTTTTCAGACAGACCTCACTCTTTTTTTTTCCTGCCCTTTTCCATCCCCTTTGTTTCCTGAATTTGCAGCAATGAGCTGTTTTGACACGTGCTGGGACGGGTGGGCCTGTTGTGAGAACAGATCTCTGGATGTTTGGTGTGAGTTGTGTCCCAGGCCCTGGGTTTTTCCTCACCCACCCTGACAGATCAGGAGCTGGGATCGGTTTGCTGCCACTTCCCAAGTTAAACATCTCCCGTGGGATTAAGGCAGCAGAACCAAGGCTATTGCTGCCACAAAATTGGTGTTTGAAGTGGAATTTCCATGAAGCTCTCCTGAAGCTCTCAGAACCTTCTGCTGTATCTCCAGCTATGAAATTTGTGTCAGAGGTTTAGGTTGGACCTCAGGAAAAGGTCCTTCCCCCAGAGGGTGTTTGGGCACTGAACAGGCTCCCCAGGGCAGTGGGCACTGGGCAAACATTGCCTGGGATAAAATAGTTCTTCATTAACACAGAGGTAAAGGGGGATGGTGATTTCAGATATTTCCTAGCAGGGTTCCTGGTGCCAGCTACTCTTTCCAACCTGGATCCTTTTTTTTTTTTCTTTTTTTTTTTTTGTCTGCTGGGTATTCCCTTGATAACACATTTGGGTTGCTCTTTTGCTTATAGACTTGTTTCAGTTTATTACACTACATATGATGGTTGTCATCCTTCTGTTGATTATGAAAGGATATGCCTTGTGAACAGAGAAGTGGAATTTCCATGGAGCTCTCCCATTTCAGCTGTACCTCCAAAATGTGCTGGGAACATTCTCTCAAGTTCCCTGCCCGGTGAAGCTTGTTCTTTCTGAGTTACAGCCATCAGAAACTGCAAGAAATCTCAGTGTGTCATGTTAGGGTTAATGAGTTTTATCATAGAGTTTGTCTCCTTTCCATTTTCGTTTTTGGTCTTAATTAAACACATTTCTCTTGTTTCTTCCCAAGAATGCCAGGACTGGTGGGCAGCAGGTTGCAGACAGAACACTTCTGCACTTCCTGCAAACTGCACAGTCTGTTCTGCTGTGAAAAGCCTTCAGATAGTGACAGGCTCCAGAAAACTATCAGAAGAGCTCCAGAGGCACCAGCCTTTTCTAATCAAGGTAATGCATGGATTTGTAAGGCTGGGTGATTACTCCCAACTCTTCAACAGCACCAGCCCGAGACCCCCGCCCAGTATTTTCATCCACAAACTCAAAACTGCTGCTTGAGCTAGAACATATGCCCTAGAAGACATTTCACCCCAGTGTAAAGGTGTGGGGGGTGAGAGTTCACTCCCTTGGCTGATGATCATTGCATTTGGAAACTTAGCAGTTTTGGATGCTCTTTGGCAGGAGGGAAGTGGGAGCAGGGAGGAACTCTGGGTGCACAGCTTTGATCTTTGTTTTGTGTCCTTTAAGACAGGGCAGCATCTCTCCTATGAAGAACTGAAGCATTTGCAGTCCCAGGATCCAGAACTGGCAGAGGTTATAATAGAAGAAAATTCAGCTGAGTTGTGGAGCTGCCCATTTTCCTTTCCCTGGTGAGTCAGAGACAAAACACGTGAGAGATGGACACAGACTCTGCCTGTGTGAACCACCAGTGCTTGCAAATTGCATTTTAGCTGGAGGGAAGGAGAACAGGAGTGGGTTACAGGCTTCTCTCTGCTTGCTGGCACTGATTTGTTCCAAGACTTCCACACTAAAAATGGAGTGTTGTGGCTTGGACTTCAGGTGTTGCTCCTCTTACAAGACAAAAATATCCCAGTGACTGCTCAGTCCTGTTCTTCAGGCTGTGCATTAATTATCTGGGCTGTGGTTTGATTACCTGAGGCAACTGGTTCACGTTTCTGATCACCCCTGTCTGCTCAGTGGGAATCCCCCACCACTGGTGCTGACTGAGGAGAGATTTTGCAAACACTGAGGAGTAACAGAAGGCCAGGGCATCCTGCACATCGTGTTTGGTCTGAAAAAATGGCCAACCCTGATCCTGCCCCCTCTTAACCAGAAGCTTTTTGCCAAAGCCTTTAGTGTGGCCACAAGACGTGGAAAACTCCGAGCTCTCCCAGGCTGCAGAGCAGGCGCTGGTAGAGGGATGGTCAGGGTAGAGAAGTATTAATCATGTCAAAAATAACAAACCCCACCCTGCCTTTTCCAGTTATATTTCCTAGTCTAGAGGATAAGCCTGGATCCCCCCTGGCCTCACCATGTGGTTTCAGTTATGGTTGTGTACAATGCCACCTCTCTGCATCTTTTGTAACCAGTGGATCCGGTCAATGACTCTGATCATTTCAAGGCAAGAAGAGAGGGAAATTAAGTTTAGCCATCCAGCATGATCTGTCTGTTCCCTGCTGATGTGGTCCTGCTGCAGGAACAAAGAGGAAGATAGAAAGGAGCAGAGGTTTAGAGGCTGAGAGGTGGAATTTTGCTCCCAGCTCCCAGGACTGGTCTGTCATGCTTTTATCAGGCACGAATGTTTGTGAAGAATTTTGTCAGGAGAGTATCTTTTAAATGCAGACATTATCATTGTGTGATAATTCTTTAATATGGGTTGTTTTCTTCTGTTTAGGAACAAATCTGTGAATAAATCTGGGATTCTGCGGGAATTTTTACGTGCACCCTCTTTGCTGTCCTTCCCCAAGACAGTGTCCCTGGAGAGCTGCTTCCTCATCCGCCACCCAGATTTGGGGAATAAGGTGAGAAATTCATCCCAGAGACATTATCTCCCTGACTGTCAGCTGCCCTCCAGCAGCTCCAAGTCTTTGATTTGCATTTTCAGCTGATACAATCCTGAAAAGAATCACTTAGGGTTGTATCAGTTCTGTCCATCCCTGTGTGAAGTGATTCTGTGATTCTGTAATCTGGGGGTACCTGGGGGGAGCAGCAATCCTGGCCCCTCGTGTGGTCAGGCAGATGCAAGGAAAGCTGGCCAGGCTTTTGAAATCCTGTCTTCTCATCCTAGAGCTACAGCCTGCACAGCCTCTTTGTTGTTGGAAGTGGGCAGCTCACCCTGACTGTTGCACCTCTGGACTCGTGCAGAGGACACTGTGAGGTGTTCAAGGTGGAGCTGGAAGCTGGGGATTTGGGTGAGTACTGGAGCTGTGGTGTGCAGGGACTGCTGGATCCCTTGGAGTCAGGAGGCTGCTTCCAGCTGGGTCTTTTTCTGAGACCTGGGGCAGTGGTGTGTGCCACTGCCACCTCCAAACTGGTGTGTGTGCCACTGCCACCTCCAAACTGGTCAGTGCTGTTGCCACTCCCAAATTGGTGTGGGCCTGCTTGTTGCAGTACAGAGGATGATCCTTCTGGATTGGGAGTTTGTAGCCTGGAACACAAACAGTGGGATGCCAAGAGGTGCTCAGTGTCAAAATGAGCAGTGTGGGCTACCCAAGACACGATGGGTATCACAAACCCAGTGTTCCCTGAGGGAAATGTGTCTCCAAAGAGCTCCAGCATGCACACAGCCCTTTGTGGGAAATGGGAGCAGTCATTTAAGGATGGACTCATCTAATGTGGCCTCTCCATTGCCTCTCCCAAAGGTTATGCCAGCACAGATTACTGGACAATGAGCTTCGTGGCCAAAGGGACAGAGCCAGCAGTGGTTTGTGACGGAGCTGCCAGCTAAGGACAGAGGAGAGGGAAAACAGAGCTGTTCCCAGGACAAGAAGACTTTCAGCTTTGAAGCTGAGGCAACGTTTTGAGAGCGAGCTGGGGCAACTGGGGCAGGCAGCTTTGCCACCCTGCATGTTTACAGTGTTTAAAAATGACTGTTTTCCTGACCCTTGAGGTAATTCTTTGCCTTTCCTCAAATGTGTTTTGGGAGAAGCTCAAGCTATTTATGACTTGCCCTGTCCCCTCAGGTAAGCCCTGGGTTTGCAGCAAAGGTTTTTTTTCCAGGAACAGCAGAAGGATTTCTCAGGATGAGATTCACCTTGTGTCCTTTGTGGATTATGGCACTTCTGAAACTTCCTGGGGGGGGAAGTTGGGAGTGGAGGGGGTGTGTGACATTTCTGTGTACATTCCTCCTGAGGAGGAAGCTTTGAGCCTGTCTTGTCAGGCCAGTTCTATAAAGGGAATGAATCAGTGACGTGTCCCAGCCTCACCCCACCTCTCCCTCACATCTGTGGCTGTGTCTCCCCCAGAGCTGATCCCAGCTCTCTCCTCCCAGGCTGGGGGCAGCCCTGAGCCTGAGAGTCTCTGCCCCTTGCCCACTGTATCATTCTTGTACCAAAAGAATCTCTTCAGGCCTCTCTGTTGTGATCACTCTTGTGGTTCTCTATCTGCAGGTTGTGGGTCAAATAGTAACTGTGCTTTTTTTCCTCTTCCACCTCCTTTCCTGCAAAAAGCACCGATGCTCATGTTAGTGGTGCTGGGAGTGCAGGAGTTCTGGATGGAGATGGGGCTGGGAGCAAGCAGCTCTGTGCAGGTTTCACCTGAGACACCCAGGGCTGCACAGCCAGTTGCAGCTCCTCGTTTTGGGAGGCACTGCCTGCGTTCCCAGCCCCGAGGACCTACGGGAGCACCTGGAAGCTCCCTCATCCCTGGCGTATTTTTGTACCAACTCCTTCCAGACCTGGAGCTCTGCCTTCAGAGTGAAGGTTGGTTTTTCCTGGGTCCTTTCCAAGCTGCCTTTGCATGTTTCCTGCTGCTGGAGCACTGCTGTCTGCAGTGCCCTGAGAGAGGCTCGGGTTCAGTGTTTGCAGGCTGCGGATGCTGCCGCCCCTTCCAAGTCTGATCCTCTGGGTCTGATCCCGCTGCTGAAGATCATTTACAGATGTGTCAGGCTGAACTCATAGGCCAGGGCTGGGGTTCAGGACATGCTCTCACACTTGTTAATATGGAACTGGGAGGGGTTTTGGTTGCAAGCGAGTTAACTCCGTTCTCAGGAGCAGGAGCCTTTCTCTCTGTAAATATTTTAGGTACGTGTGAAATGACAGATTGGAAAAATGTCTGTCCAGCCTTTGTTTTTGAGAGAAGGGGAGCAAACATCGTACTAATCTTATTAGGGGCTGACAAAAGCCGCCAAGTGGGATGACCATGTCTGGCTCCTGTACAAGGATAAGGCAAAGGACAGTTCCTGCTCCAAAGAATTTAGTCTGAGGCCTTGACACTACAAACATTTCTATGCATAACCCTTGTTTTTCTCCTGTCAAAACACTGAGAACAACCCCAGCAACTCTGTCAGTCTGTGTTAATAACCCTCAGTGCTGGCCCAACACACACACCAGATGTAGTAGAACCAAAGGGGGAGAGTCTGACTCTCTCGGGATAGAAAGGGACTGATCTAATTTGTAGCAAAATATTAAAGAGAATTGGATTAATAAGATTTCCATTAGTATTCTCATTGCTCGGGGTGTATTTTACATTCATGACACTACATGCAATCTTGTACATGCCAAGACACACACACACACCCCCTCATCCCCCTCCCTCCTCTTAAAGCCTGGGTCTTAGTTAATGGAAATTTGGGAGTTTGGTGATGGCAGAATCAGGGCCTCGTTAGTGACTGTTGCTATTTACACTTTGGCAGCTTCTCAAATCAAATTCAAAGGCTGACAAGGTTCCTTCACCTCTCACTGGTTTTGTACCTGACCCATTTTTGTAAAGCACTTGCTCAGAGATGCTGCTGGGGCCTTTCTTGCTGAGATTGCTGGCGGTTGGGTGACGCTGTCACCGCTAAGTGTCCTTGACTGTAACTCGTAAAAGAGCCGTGGAGACAATTCCCAAGTGTCTGTGATGCATTTTGAGAGTCGCACTTAAGCCATTGTGGCTGTCTGGCTCTTTCGGGAAGAGGCAGAGAAAATGGATCTATTTACGTTTAATCTGTTTAGATTTGGGGGGAGGGGGGCAGGAAAAGGGCAGGTTTGTGCCTGTTTAGCAAAAGTGTTCTCACGTGTTGCTTCTCCCCTCCTCAAAGAGCTGCAGCTGGTTGGACAGGAGCTGGTGAGTGTGGCCTGTGTGTGCAGAGCAGCTCTCCAAGTGCACTTTATGGGCTCTGCATAAGTTTCCAGCTCGGTGTCTGGGCGATACATTGCATATGTCCCAGCCTCGCTCCCTTCGGAGTTTACATCATTTGTTTTTAAGCTTTCCAGTATATTTTCTCTTCCTCTTCCAAAAGCTGTAAGGAATTAGCTGCTAAACTAAAACAGGAGGGCAGTTCTCCTGCTGATAAAGAGCCGATTTTGGCTGAAGCTGCCGAGCCCCAGCCTGCAGCACAGCTTCCAGAGCAGCTCCTGTCTCCAGCTGCCAGAGGAGTGGTGCTCGCACCTCCGGCACCGCAGGGCGAGGAGCCAGGCGGGAAACCTGGAGGTGAGGCCAAAGTGGCAAAACGTGGATGGCCAAAAGGAGGTTTCGATACCTTTAGCTGCAGGTGAGCCCTGGTGGTGTTTCTCATCCAGAGCTCCAGCTTTACAGAGCCCTTGGAAAGGCTGCAGGAGGCTGGGACTTCCCTAGAGAGCCCGGTGAGGCTGAACTGGGGGGGATGGGGCTATTTCTGCAGCTATTCTTGGTGACAGATCACAGAGGGGGTGTCCCACCATGGTCTCCCTCACCTCAGCTCTCCTTTGGCACTCACTGTGCTGGTTTGGACAATCCCCCACTCCCACCCTGCCCAGCTCAGAGGGGTTCCCAGTCAGCGTGTGCGTCCCAGTGTTTTAAAATCCCTTTGTGCTTCAGAGCTCGTGTTCTGTTGGCTGGGAGATGGATTCCTGCTCACCCAACGTCCCTCAGGCTGCAGAGCTGCTCTGAAATCACAGCAGAAATCGGTACTACCCCCAGGCAGAGATGGGGAGGGGTCACCTGTCACCTTGCCAGGCTGGAAAGACGGGCTGTGCCCCGTCAGCTGGGCAGGAGGATCGTGGTTTGAAGCTGCTTCCCAAAGCAGGGGTCACTGACCGTTGCTCTCAGTCCTGAACTCAGGGTAATTGAAAGGAGGAGAAAGGACTATTATGATTTACTTCAGTACCAGGAAATCAGCAGCCCCCATGGGACAGTTTCTATTGATTTTTTTCTTTCTTTCTTTTTTTTTTGTTTCTTTTCTGGTTTTTTCCTCCCCACTGGCACTGCACACACTGATTCCCCCAGGGCTCCCAGCCTCAGGCTCCCTTTGCACCACCCTGGAGAGCTTTCTAGAGGCAGATTTCCCGTGAGTCTCTGGACTTCAGCTTCTCCCAATAGTCCTGTTTTTCCAGTTTTCTGGTGGAGAAGCTGGTAAGGCTGGGCTGGATCAAAGCACCTCCCTCCCTTTGTGGCGTCCTGGGCTCCAGCAGCAGGAGCATCCCAAGTGAGAGGAGTTGGGAGCAGGGCATCTCATGGTAGAGATGTGAGCTCTGTAAACATCAGTGTCTCTCCTCCTGCCTTGAAACCCCTGGTTCTCCTCAGTAATGCTGCTCCAGGAGGGAATTTTCCACATCCACCCAATTCCAGGCTTGGTGGTCCATGTCCAACCCCATGGTTTCTAAGTGAACCAAACGCTTCCTGGGGTGAGGCCATTTCAGTGGGTGCACAAAGAGCTTTTGCTTCCTGCAGGCCAAACTTTCTCCTCTTGGTAAATTTTGTAGGTAGAGCTCAATATTCTCCTCTTCAGGATCCTCTTCCTTTTAAAGGGCAGATTCAGTGTCCTGCTGAGTTAGACAAGGGAGATGCTGGACTTCCCCTTTGCTTTGGACATTCAAAACAAATGGCAGGTGATTTATTTTTAGCATTATCTCTTCGTCTTGGGGAGGGGAGCCACGTTCTAAAGGCTCAGGGGTGCTGGGAAGTAAAGCTATATATGCATAAAGACTTTCAATGCTGAACACTAAATTCAGTGGTGGATTCAAAAACAAAAAAGAATGTAAATATGCACTTAATGCAGAATTTTATGGATGGTCATAATTTAATATATTGCAAACTTTGTAAATACTTGGGAAAAGCCTGTAAAGTGTGTAAATAAATGAGATTTGTATGTAAAAAGAATAAAAAAGTTTTTACTTTTTGCAATTAAATACAAGTGTTAATGCACCTTTTCCCTTTTCCTGATTTTCATTTTTGTGTTGCATGTCAGCCACTGAGAGGTCATTTATCCCTTTTAGGGCGTTTTTTCTACGTGGAAGGGTCATTTTAAATGAAAAGCCAGAACACCTTTTGGTTTGGGAAAAAGAAACTGCTGCTGTGGGACCCTGATAGGCTGGAGAGTTGGGAGGAGAGAAAACCTAAGGAGGTTCAACAAGAGCAAGGTCCTGTTATCCCTGGGGAGGGATAACCCCAGGTACCAGCACAGGCTGGGGGTGACCTCCTGGAGAGCAGCTCTGTGGAGGAGGAACAGGGTTTTGAGGGGGTCCTGGTGGGTGACAAGCTGATCATGAGCCAGCTGTGTGACCTGGGGGCCTGGAAGGACAAGTTGATCCTTGGAGGCAGTGGGAAGAGTGTGGCCAGCAGGTCAGGGGAGGGGAATCCTGCCCCTCTGCTCTGCCCTGGTGAGGCACATCTGCAGTGTTGTGTTCAGTTCTGGTCTTCACAGTTCAAGAAGGACAAGGAGCTACTGGAGAGAGTCCAGCAGAGGCCCAAAGCTGATTGGGAAAGTGGAGCATCTCTCCTGTGAGGAGACACTGCAGGAGCTGGGCCTGGTTAGTCTGGAGAAGACTGAGGGGATCCCATTCATGCCTGGTAATATCTCAAAGACAGGTGCCAAGAGGACGGTGCCAGACTCTCTTCAGTGGTGCCCAGCGACAGGACAAGGAGCAATGGCCATAAACTAAAACACAACTAAACTAAAACACAACAAGTTTCACGTCAACATGGGGAAGAAGTTCTTTCCATGGAGGGTGGCAGAGCACTGGAACAGCTGCCCAGGAAGGGCGTGGAGTCTCTGGAGACAGGAGTTGTCCTGTGCGTTTGTTGGCACCAGCCACAGTTGTGCCTCTTCATCAAAGGCTCCATACGTGACATGGACGTGTCCCACGTGGGTCCAAAACTCTAATAAATACGTTTCCTCCCCGAATCTTGAAAAGCTGAGGGGTGTTCCTTGCTGTAAATCTCACTGCCAGAGCCGTGGGCTGCCCAGAGCAGAAGCCGACGCTGCACGATGCTGAGCTCGGGTCTTCCCCCCCTTTTCCTGGTGCTCACAGTGCTGGAGCTGAGCTGGTCCCTGAGTGATGAGGAAAAGAAGATAATCCTGGATGAGCACAACAGGTACCGCTCCCAGGTCTCTCCTCCTGCCAGGGCTATGATGAAGATGGTAAGTGGCTTTTATTGCAGAGGAATCTCAGGGTGTTTGTGTGGTGCAAGCCTCGATCTCAGTGCTGGGAGGGGATCGGGGTGTTCCTTAGGGGAGGAAGAGCAATTGTCACGTAGGGTTACAAGCAGGTGTCATTGGGGGGGAATTCCCTAAACTGGCTCTAAAGAGATGAGTTTCCTTCAAATAAAGAGTTGACTTTGATAATTTCTGGCAGTTTTTAAGTAAAACCTTTGTGGGCTGGTAAACGGGAGCTTAACAACCAAAAGAACCAAAAATCTAAATTCAGGGAGAGGAGGTCTGACCAATGACTGCAGACTCAAAGGGGCCTGAGCACTGTGACAGTTTCTCCTCTCTGAGTTGAGGACGGTCCATGATGACGTTGGATGTGCTCCAGGAGAGGTTGTGAGAGTCGTGCTGATGCACTGACCTTCTCCTGTTTGACCCATAAACCAAGGTTTGGTTTGTTCTGCGTCTGACCATCCTGACCTCTCCTGATGACTGTGTTGGTGGGGATTTGAATTTTACTCCTGAACAGGCAAACTGTGTAGCCAGAGAGCCCAGAGGTCCTGGGTAAGTGCCTTGTTGATGTTGGAGAGCCCTGTGTCCCTCTCTCTGTGCTGATGCTGAGCTCCTTTCAGACCTGGGACGCGAAGCTGGAGGCTGATGCTCAATCCTATGCAGAGAAGTGCATCTGGGAGCACAACGAGGAGAGGGGCCGACACGGGAAAAACCTCTTTGCTATGGCCCCAAGCACGGACCTCAAACATGCTGTGGCAGAATGGAATGGGGAGAGGAAATTCTACAGCTTGTTAACATTCGAATGTCTCCCTGGGAAGATGTGTGGCAACTACAAACAGGTACCAGCTGCTGAGGTGGAGGGATGGGGCTGTTGGGAAAGGTGATGTACCAGAGTCCCGGCTCCTCCCAAAGTTTTTGCAAAGGGATGGGGAACCAGGTGGGAAAGACAAAGATACAGGGGGACCTGGACGTGGTGCCAGGCATGACCAGCCTTTGGGAGAAGACCTTTTTTTTGAAACAAGCTCTGAAGCCCTCCTTTGGCTGCTCAGCAAAGCTGGACACCAGCTTGCCTTAGGCAAAGTCTGCGTTTTCTTCACAGCTTGGGTGGAAACAAAGAGGAGCAGAGCTGGCTGTGGTAATTATGAGAATGGGTGTACGAAGCAGCCTTCGAGGCCAGGGGACAGGTTGCCTTCACCCACCCCCCTCACCTTCACCCCTGGTCTTTGCCTTAGGTGGTCTGGGCAGGGACAGAACGCATCGGCTGCGGGGCAAAGCTCTGTGAGAAGATCGAAGGGATGGAAACAGAGCACAGGCACCTGCTTGTTTGCAAGTATTCTCCCCCGTAAGTCCCACACCCTGCGTGGATTGGTGCATCTTGATGGGGTTTTTTTTGTGCTGGAAATGTCCTTCCTTCGGTGCTTTTATCAGAGCGGAGTTTGGCCTTGGTCAGAAACAGAAGCAAAGCGGTTCCAAAGAAAGGGTGTTCCTTATCTTGGGTTGGTCACAGAGGAAGGAAGGGTTGTCTGGTGATCCTTGCCTGTGATTGCTGAGGTCTGGTTCAGGTTCTGGCACAGACCCAGAGAGGGACTTTCTGCCCTGAGAGCTGCCCAGAGCTGAAGTCGCAGTAGCTGAGGGTACAAACAGCTCCCTGCTCTGGGCCTTGTTCTTCCCTGCTGGCAGCAGTGGTTGCCTGGGGTCGAGAAGCCCTTTTGCACCAGCAGGAAGAGTTGGATGTGGAAGGAGAAGTGGGTACCCCCTTCACAGCCCTGGGACCAGCTTTGGGGCTGCTGAGACCAACTTAGAGCAGCTGGTGGCTGCAGAGCTTCTTAGGGGTCTTGAGCAGAAGGGAGATGGAATCACTTGTCCCAGTGCCCATCCAGTGTTTTGTTCTAAGGGGGATGAAGGATCATGGAGCCTGGCTTTAGCAGCCTTGGGCTCAGGCTGTTGAGTAAATGGCACTGACAGTCCATGGCAGGAGACCATGACCATGTTTTTTACATCAGTCCTGAGTTTTGCCTTGGCTGGGATATCCCAGCTGAATCAGACCCCTCTTTGCTCACACCTTCTCTTTCTTGACATCTTCTGCTTCCAGGGGTAATGTGAATGGCCGAAAGCCCTACTGGGAAGGACCCCCATGTTCAAAGTGTCCCGGGGCACAGTCTGTGTGGACAACCTGTGTGGTGAGTGAGGGAAGCTGTGTGTGTCCCTTGATGGGCCACTGGGACTGAAACCCCAGATCCAAGCTCTGAACCCTCCTGGAGTTTTCAGGAAGGCCTGAGCCAGCAGGTCCAAGGCTGGACCATGAGAGCTCAGGAGCAATGGCTGCTCCTAAGGCAGATCAGCTGCCTCAGGATGAGGAGAATTGGACAAGGGCCTTGTAGACCCTTAGCCAGCACAACACCAGTGTCCACCACAGCTAAACCAGTACACACAGCATCAGAGCCCACCATAACCACAGCCAAGCCCAGAACCTGGCACCCATCAAAACAGCCAAGCCAGAACCTGCCACCACACTTCCAACAGCAACCCCAGGCAAACCAAACCTCACTGTGCAGGCAGCCAAAACAGCCACAGCCAAGCCAAAATCCACCACAACTACGGCCAAGCCGACACCCACCACACCAAAATACACCAAAACTCTGGCTAAGCCAAAACCTGCTGTTACACCACCAACACCTGCCACAACCACAAAGTCAGAACCAGAAAGACCTGATCCTACTGAGGCAACCGGGGTAGTTCTTTCCTTTCAGCCCATATTAGACCTGGATTATGAAGTATCTACACAGGCAGAGTTAGACACTGAAGAGCCTGTTAGCTTCTTCATCACAGAGGATCTTCTCTTCTAACTTTATGTTTTCTTCTCTTCCTTCACTGTCTGCCCTGGACACTGAAGAACCGAAGACAAAGCCCTCAAATGGAACCCCCAGTACCTGCTCGTGGCTTTCGCTCTTCCTCCTCCCCAGTGCCATCCTGGTGGGCCTCCTGCTTTGAATGGTCTTTCTCAGCTCTCCCTGCTCCAGTCACCAAGGCTTTCTTCAGCACTGGTTGTTCCACAAGCCCGGTGGGCTCAGGAGACCCCTCAGACACTTCAGGCTGACACCTCCCTTTTACGCTGCCTTCTCTGCTCCAGCCCCGGCGAGCCACGGGCAGTGGCAGCACCGAGGGAACTTGGTTCCCCTTCCTGAGGAGACCCAAGGGCAGCAGGGTGTCTGCCATAACACTGGTGACCTTGGACACTTCTCCTTTCTTCCTGGCCAGCCTGGGCTTCTGTTGCATTTCCAAGGAGGGGGTGGTGAGCTGTCCCCCCACCCGTGTGGCCGGCAGGCCCCGCCGCACCGTGTCCCCTGGGACAGCAGGATGGCTTGGAAACCCAAGTGGCAACAAGACATGGGAGTTGGATTTGGGTTTTTTTCTGGATGAGCTTCCAGCTAAATTGCTCTTTTCCCCTCCCCATGTGTCTGTTTATCTCAAATTTGGGCAAGTTTCATCTCTTTCCCCTCTTGTCCAGTAGGAGTCCAAAATGAGGATTTCTGTTTCCCTCCTGGTTCTGGTGTAGCTTTGGCCAGTACCAGCCAGATGTACTCCCTGCTCCTCCTCCTCACACCTCTGCAGCCCTTGCCTCCTCCCTCTCTCCTGTCTCTGCCCCACATCCCATTCCTCAGTTATTGCCATTATCCATTGCCATGGCTGTATTTTACGCCTGTGCCTTCACCTGTGTGCACCCACAGAAGAGAAACCTTCAGCCCTAAGAGGAGCCACCAGCTCCTTCACACAGCTTTCCCTTGCAAGGCTTCCTTTCTTCTTTTTCTTTGTGTAAGTGTAATTCAATTTAAATACAGATCCCACTTGACATATAATCTGTGTGTGGTGGAACCCGGTCCAGGAGAAACAAGTCACCACGTGATTCGGTACAATCTGAGCTCAAGAGAGCCAAGTGATGATGTTACAGGTCATTGGTGGCTCTGCTGGCCCAGCAGCACCAGCTCTCCTGCAGGGAAGCAGCTGCCCGTGGGGTGTTTTGAGGTCACGGTCGCAGCCGGCCCAGCGATGCAGTGACCGGCAGATGGCACTGGGAGAGACACCACTGAGAGCTGGGCAGCTCACAATTCACTGCACAGATCCCTGCCCAGAGCGCGGAGCTTTATTTAATCGCCAGCTTCACATGTAGTTAAGGATCAGATTAAAAATAACCTCCTGCCCAGGTGCCACGCCCGCTGCACGTTCTCGGTGCAGGCTGAGCTGCTGCTCCCGAGCTGCTCTGGGGGGGGAAAAATCCACCCTGGGGTTATGGAGAGATGATAAAAGTGCAGCCAGAGCAGCTGCTGTTCCCCTGGGGTGAGGGCTGAGGGGCTGGAGCTGGGAGTTCATTTCAGAACCGCGTTTGGTTTTGCATCTGGGTGAAGGAGAGCGTAGTGTGAAGTGCCCACAAAGGATACAAAGAGCAGAAGAGAATTTCTCCTCCCAGCAAAGTCAGGGCACTTGGGCAATAGCTGATTTTTTGCAGTGCTGGAACCTCCACCCTGCTCCCACCACGGTCTCCCTCACCTCAACTCCCCTTTGGCACTCGCTGTGCTGGGTCAGACAATCCCCCACTCCCACCCTGCCTGGCTCAGAGGGGTTCCCAGTCAACGTGTGTGCCCCAGTGTTTTAAAGTCACAGAATCATAGAATGGATGGATGAATGAATAGTGTGGAAGACGATAAACTCCTCCAGAGCACATAAAAGTGGGTGAGTAGGGAAGAGAAACATCCTGTTACTACCAAGCCAGTGCATGAGCCTTGTTAGACTCCGACCAGCCATGCTCAAGACCCTCAGGGTGTGAGTCAGTAGAAAACCAGGCTTGGTTACTACAGAGTGGGGCCTCTTTGGGGCCACCAGACTTGACCAGCCCCTGTCAGGTGTCGGTGTGTGGCTCCTGTCCCTGTGCAGAGGGTCCCCAGGGTGTGGTGGACGGGCTGTTCCTTGAGGGAGCAGAAGCAAAGCTGCATTCCACACACACTTACCTAATGTCGGCTGGACAGGAGTGTGTCAGCTCCAGGGTGGGGCCTGGGCCTTGCACTGCTAATCTTGATGCTTCAGACATTGGCTCCAGAAGGAGCTGTCAGAGCAGGTTTGGAGTTGAGAGATGTCCCTGCACCCCCTTTGGCAGCAGCTGCCCTGCCCTTGCCGATGCATCAGCTGTTACTCACGTTTCCCCAGGAGCCACATGCCCTGGTGGTGACTCCTCCAGGGCTGTTTGCTCTTCCCCACAAAGCTCTGGGTATCCCATTTTCCTTTATCCTTGTTGCCACACCCTCTCCTGCAAGACTTAGCCGGGATGTTGTAGGGACAGGGGTACGTGGAGCCTGGCCCTGCATCTCCACATCAGGTTGGCAGAGACCAGCCCTGCACTGGGCTAGTGGAAGGTGTCCCTGTCCATGGCGGGTGATTGGAATGAGATGAGCTCTAAGGTCACTCTTCCACTCCAAACCATTCTGGGATCCTGTGATTCTCAGCACTGCCTTGTCCCTCATCAGCCAGGCCAAAGCAAGCTGGCCAGCAGGAGCTGGGGCTTGTGTTGATGCCTTCTGGATGTTTCTCCAGGTCTGTGGAGTTACCAACAGCGAGGCTGTTGAGGTGTCTCCATCATGAGACAGATTTGCCTTAGCAATAAATGGGATCCTCTGGTTTGACCAGCTGAGTTGAAGCCTGGGGAGATGTTGGCCTCACACCCTGCTTGCAGGAATTGTTGGGGTATTGAGGGCATGGCAGACCCGGGACCTAAGGAAGGAGAAGGTAATACAGAGAGGTCAGAGATCTGAGGGGCAGTAGGAGAGCTGTGGTGGTGAAAGAGGTGATCAGTGTGGCCCAAAACAAGAGGAAAAATGGCAAAGCATTGTCTGGAGAGCCGGGAGGGGAGAGGGGGAGGCAGAGCCGGCAGCGTGTGATTAACTTGGCTGTGCTGACCAGAGCTGCCCACCCGCTGATCCTTTCTAACAGCCTGTGATCCCAGAGGAGCCCCTGGAGCCGAGCCGGGCAGTTGCACAATCACAGATGGGGAGCCGAGGCTGCAGCAGCCGCGGGGGGGGCTCTGCCAGACAGACCCCGTGCCGGGGGCTCCGGGACACCCGATGCTGGGCCCTCCGAGTGTCTGCGGGGGGAGCACAGCCTGTCCCTGCACAGCCAGTGATCTGGTTATTCCAGCCAGCCCGGATGGCAGCTGGAGACTCTCAACTCCCCTTTCTGGGGCAATCTCAGCTCTACACCCTGTTCTTCCTCTCCTGCTCATCCTTCTCCTGATGGCTCAGGGAAGGGGCATCAACCCTCTGCTTACCCCTCATTCCCAGCCCTGGGGGTCTGTTCCTCAGCTGCCCATTGCTGTCCCCCCCCAACACAGCCACGGGGCTGGACGAGGTGGGCTCTGCCCCTGCCTGGGGAGTTCCTGTGCTGCAAAACTGCTCTCAGCAGTTGCATCTTGTTGCCTTCATTTCTATCGCAGCTGCGTTCCAGGGATGGGGGTGGACCCGTGTGAAAACAGGGGCTTGCCGGCTGCTGTGGGATTATTGTTACAGACTGGGAGAAAAGGGACAGGAGGTAGAAGAGAGGACCCGTAACTGAGGGCTCAGGGAATGGCTGGGGTTTGGAGCAGCAGAGGTTTAGATGAAGAATGCCAATCCAGGGATTAGGATTTAGGCACAGGGTCTGTCCCAGGGAGTGGACCCCGTGCGTTCACTGGCACCAGCCGCAGTGCTGCCTCTCCATCCAGGCCGATATGTGAGATGGGTGTGTTCTGCGTGGCTCCAAAACTCTAATAAATACATTTCCTCCCCAATCTTGAAGCTGTTGGGTGTTCCTTGCTTTTGGGAGGTGCTTTAAATGTGACTGCCAGAGCCGTGGGCTGCTAAGAGCAGAAGCCGACGCTGCACGATGCTGAGCTCGGGTCTTCCCCCCCTTTTCCTGGTGCTCACAGTGCTGGAGCTGAGCTGGTCCCTGAGTGATGAGGAAAAGAAGATAATCCTGGATGAGCACAACAGGTACCGCTCCCAGGTCTCTCCCCCTGCCAGGGCTATGATGAAGATGGTAAGTGGCTTTTATTGCAGAGGAATCTCAGGGTGTTTGTGTGGTGCAAGCCTCGATCTCAGTGCTGGGAGGGGATCAGGGTGTTCCTTAGGGGAAGCAGAGCAATTGTCAGGTAGGGTTACAAGTAGGTCTCACTGCGGGGATATTCCCTAAACTGGCTCTAAAGAGATGACTTTCCTTCAACTTGTAGAGTTGACTTTGATAATTTGTGGCAGTTTTTAAGTGTGATCTGAGTCCCCTGATGCTCTGCATGAGAGTAGTGCAGCTTTTGCTCATCTGGATGTGCTGTCCCCTTGTGATGGGGAGGAAGGGCAGGTGAGACCTTGCCATGAGCAGGTGCCATGAGTTGGAGACATTGCCATGGTCATTTGCAGGGGGAATCCTGCTGTGTGGGGCATCACCTGGTGCCTTGTATTTGCCTTTGCATTTCAAGGAGCTTTTACCTGTAGGAGAGAATGTCAACTTCAAACATGTCAGTCAGGTTTTTCAGGGATTTGGGCTACTCATCACATTCCTAATCCTCACCATGACTTGGTGTCTTGAAGGTGAAGGACCTCCTATTTTGCTTCAGGAAACCAAATCATGTCCCACATCACCTGTGGCTGCAGTGGGAGGGAAAATGAGCTCTCGAGCTCGTGCTACTTTTTGTCTTCTTTGGGCTCCTGATTTGATTAACTCCTACACCAGGTGATTTTTCCTCACTCTTTGCAAATCACGTGGAGAAGGACAACTGTTTACCACGTGTAGTTGGAGTCTTTTCCTCTTTGGGTCACGCTGTGCTTGGAGGAGACCTCCCTGCCTAGCCCAAAGGTTGCCAGGCTGGAGTAAAACCTTTGTGAGCTGGTGAATGGGAGCAAAAAGCTAAATTCAGGGAGAGGAGGTCTGGCTGTGGCTTCAGGCTCAACGGGGACAGAGCCAGAACACTGAGGACCATAATCCTGTGGAACCCACCAGAGCCAGGCACACAAAACTTGATGTATCCGGGCTTTGGAGCCAAAGTCTTAGAGAAAGCCTGAGGAAAACGATCTCTCAGGGTCTTTAAGTCAGTGCAATTCCAAACCTGTGACGGCTGCTCCCTGCTGAGGCTTTGACTGCAGACCCTGTGCTGGGAGATGCTCCCTCGGCAGCGCTGCTTTGCCTCTGCTTAAACCCACAGGACCCACTCGTGGTCTGGAACCAAACGCCTCGGGGTCGGTGTTTGTTTTGGTTTTTTTTGAAGCACAGCAAATGTTTAGCCCTGACAATTCTTTGGTAGAGGTTTTCCCTTGAGAGCCATCCCTGCCTCCCTCCCGGGGCGTTTGCTTTGCCCCCCTGTTCACCTGCGAGGGGTGGATGAGGTCACCCCGCGCTTCCTCCTGGGACACGGGGCTGGTTGCCGTGGAAATGTTTAGGCACTGGTGACAGGGAGGGGGTTGGATATGTAGCCAAAAGCCAATTTCGTTTTTAATGAGGCAGATCTGCAGGTGCAAGTCCCCAGTTTATGGAGCCCAGCTCGGTGCCAGAGGGAGGGGGGTGTGCACTCCCCAAACGGGGTCTCCAGTGTGGAGAGAAACGCTGCTCTCAGCGTGGCTGGGGCCATGGTGGGAGAGGATCCAACACCCCCCCATCCCCATCCAGGTGCTTCCTTCCCTCCCAGTCACCTCAACACCCCAATGGTGACATGCCCTGCATCAGGGCCATGCTCTGTGCCCCTTTGGATCCCGCCCTGGCTCCGGCTGGGAAGGTCCCCCCTCAGGACCCCCTGTTTGCTGGGCTGCCTTCCAGCACAAAGCTGCTCCCTCCATCAAATGGCTCAGGGATGGTCCAAACAGCTGCGGTGTAGGATTCCTCTGTGCATCCCTGCAGCGAGACCTCTACTTCTCCTCCTCCTCCTCCTCCTGCATATCAATGTGGCCGGGGGCTCAGCTGGTGGCGGGGCCGCTGCCGCTCCGGAGGGGGCTCCTGGCAGGCGCCCAGGCGGGAATGTCTCGGATCCAGGCAAACAGACGATGTTTCCCAGGAGCCTGTGTGCCGGGGCTTTGTGCAGCTGGCACTCCTGCTCTCCTCCCACCCCACCCTGGGCAGGGAGGGACATCTCCAGGCCCCCTCTGGCGTGACCCAGGGTGGGTTTCCTCCCTTCCTCCACCCGACTTCACGGTTTCTCCTCGCTGAGCTGAGGATGCTCCGTGATGATGTCAGATCTGCTCCAGGAGAGATTGTGAGGGTCGTGCTGGCGCACTGACCTTCTCCTGTTTGACCTGGAAGCCAAGGCTTGGTTTGTGCTGGGTCTGACCATGGAGCTCCCCTCCCCTGAGGACTGTGGTGGGTGGCATTGGGAGCCTCGTGTCCATTTCTCTGTGCTGATGCCAAGCTCCTTTCAGACCTGGGACAAGGAGCTGGAGAGCCTTGCTCAATCCTATGCAGAGAAGTGCATCTGGGACCACAACAAGGAGAGGGGCCGACGGGGGGAGAACCTCTTTGCTATGGCCCCAATGCTGGAACTGGAATTTGCCGTGGAAGACTGGAACGGGGAGGAGAAATTCTACAACTTGACAACATCCACGTGTGTCCCTGGGCAGATGTGTGGCCACTACACCCAGGTACCAGCTGCTGGGTGGGGAGGGATTGGGCAGCTTGTCTTGGGCAGAGAGATGAGGTTTCTTCACAGCTTGTTGGGTGGGAACAAGGAGGAGCAGAGATGGTGGTGGATCCTGAATGCCACGTGGGGATGGGGGGTCTGGGGCACACAGTAGGAGCTGAGGGAAGACATTGGTGTAGTCACAGAGCAGCCTTCAAGGCCAGAGGACAGGTTGCCTTCACCCACTCCCCTCACCTTCACCCTGGTCTTTGCCTTAGGTGGTCTGGTCAGACACGAAACAGATCGGCTGCGGGGCAAAGTTTTGTGAGAAGATCGAAGGAATCGAAACAGAGAACATGCACCTGCTTGTTTGCAACTATTATCCCCCGTAAGTCCCAGGCCTGGCATGGCTTGGTGCATCTCTGTGGGGTTCCTGTGCTGGAAATGTCCTTCCTCCTGTCCTGATATCAGAGCAGAGTTTGGCCTTGGTCAGAAATAGAAGCAAAGCGGTTCCAAAGAAGGCTTATGTTCTAATGGGGGGGGTGAAGGATCTGGTCCATGGAGCCGTGTCCCCTGGCTTTAGCAGCCTTGGGCTCAGGCTGTTGAGTAAATGGCACTGACAGTCCGTGGCAGGAGACCATGACCTGTTTTTCACATCAATCCTGAGTTTGGCCTTGGCTGGGATATCCCAGCTGAATCAGACCCCTCTTTGGGGCGGGTGTTTCCCTTTTCCTCACGCCTTCTTTTTCTTGGCATCTTCTGCTTCCAGGGGTAATGTGAAAGGGAAAAAGCCCTACTGGGAAGGACCCCCGTGCTCGCAGTGTCCCGAGGGCACAGTCTGTGTGGACAACCTGTGTGGTGAGTGAGGGAAGCTGTGTGTGTCCTTTGATGGGCTACTGGGACTGAAACCCCTGGGTTGGGGTCCAAGCTCTGAACCCTCCTGGAGTCTTCAGGAAGGCCTGAGCCAGCAGGTCCAAGGCTGGACCATGAGAGCTCAGGAGCAATGGCTGCTCCTAAGGCAGATCAGCTGCCTCAGGATGAGGAGAATTGGACAAGGGCCTTGTAGACCCTTAGCCAGCATTTTTCACCCTTGCAGGGCAGGGCATTGTGTGAGGGAGATGAGATGTCTCCAGTTGGGAACCCTAGAGTGGGGGGTGGTCCAGAGTGACCTGAGAGGGGTTGGCTGCAGCTTCTTCACCCCCTCACTGGTTTCTGCTGGTCCTGCTTAGTGCAGGGGATCTGCTGAGCCAGCTGAGCCGGTCTAACCCACAGCACTTTTCATCTCTTACCAGAACTCGTTGTAGAAGAGACCACTCCGGCCTCTGTGACAACAAAGGCAAGGCCATCCACCCCAACCACAGCCCTGCCCAAACCCACAGCCACAGCCAAACCAGAACCCACAGCACCAGCACACACCACAGCTAAACCAGAACCCACAGCACGAGCACACACCACAGCCAAACCAGAACCCACAGCCAAACCAGAACCCACAGCCAAAACAGAACCCACAGCCAAACCAGAACCCACAGCACCAGTAAACACCACAGCCAAACCAGTGCACACCACAGCCAAACCAGAACCCAAAGCAAAACCAGAACCCACAGCCAAACCATCAGTGTCCATCACAACCACAGCCAAACCAGAACCCACAGCCAAACCAGAACATCCAGCAGCAGAGACCATCACAGCCACAGCCAAACCAGAACTCACACCAGTGTCCACCACAGCCAAACCAAAACCCACAGCACCAGTACACACCACAGACAAGCCATCACCCAAAACCACACTTCCAGCCACAACCACAGCCAAGACACCACCCACGCCCACACTCCCAACCACAGCCAAGCCCAAACCCCCAACACCAGCACCCATTACAACAGCCAAGCCAAAACCTGCCACCACGCTCCCAACAACAACCCCAGCCAAGCCAAAACCCACCATGCCAGCAGCCACCACCACTACAGCCAAGGCAAAGCCCACCTCACTACCAACCACCACACCAAAATCCACCACAACAACCACTACACTCCCAAAAACAACGCCAAAACCCACCACAACCACCACTACCGGCAGGTCAACACCAACCACACCAAAACCCAGCACATCCACCACCACAGCCAAGCCAAAACCCATCATAACAACCACTACAGCCAAGCCAGAACCCACCATAACCACCACTACCACCAAGCCATCACCCACTACAACCACCACAGTGGCCAAACCAACACCCACCACACCAAAACCCACCACACCAAAACCCACCACAACCACCACCACAGCCAAGCCCAGACCAACCACAGCTGTGACCAAACCAACACCCACCACATCGAAACCCACTCCAGCTCTGGCTACATCAAAACCTGCTACAACCACAGCCAAGCCAACACCCACCACACAAACCAAACCAACACCTGCTGCTACACCAAAATCTACCACCACTACAGCCAAGCCAACACCTGCTGCTACAACACCAACACCTGCCACAACAGCAAAGCCACAACCAAAAGCTGCCACTACCACAAAACCAGAACCAGAAAGTCCTGATCCTTCTGAGGCAACTGGGCTCACTCTTTCCTCTGAGCCCACATCAGACCTAGACTATAAAGTATCTCCAGAGGCAGACACTGGAGAGCCTGTTAGCTCCTTCACTACAGAGAATCCAGCCTTATTGGAAAGCAGGGGCACAGCCTTCAGCCCCAAATCAGTCCCAGAAACAAAGGAAGGTGTCAAAGAGGATGGGAAAGAGAAAACAGCCTTTTCCAGTCCACCTCCGTCCCTCCAAGTTGTTCCAGAGATCAGGTTAGGTTTCAATAGAGCTGAGCTCATAACCCCCTCAAAGTCAGTGGTCCTCAGCCCTGAAGAGCCCACCTTCTTGCGCTTAACATCATCCTCCAAAGAAAGAAAAGGGCAGAGCCCCCATTTCCAGACCTCCCTGTCAGGTAAGGTATCCGTGGAGTCTGTGCTGGACACTCGGACATGCAGTGATCCCCAAGCAGCATGGAGAGGGCTTGGGAGGAACAGTGTCAGACTGGTCCTTTGGATCCCCCCCTCATATATGGCCTTTTCCTCACTCTTTCTTCTAACACTGAGGGGCTGGTTGGATGTCTGGCCCCTGAAGCATGGTCTTGTTTGCAGCCTGCTCCCACTAACCCACGGGCTGTCACGCCTTCCCTGGACGGAGCTCTGCTGGCCCGCGGTGCCTCGGGGCACATCACTGGCAGACCTGCATGAGTGGCAGTTCCCCTTCTGTCCAGGTCTTCCCCTCTAACTCCATGTTCTCTTCTCTTCTTTTAGCAGGTGCCCCGGAAACTGAAGACATGGAGACAAACTCGGAACAGACAAATGTGGATCAGCCCATGTCTGGAACCCCCAGTACCTGCTCGCGGCTTTCGCTCTTCCTCCTCCCCGGTGCCATCCTGGTGGGCCTCCTGCTTTGAATGGTCTTTCCCAGCTCTCCCTGCTCCAGTCACCAAGGCTTTCTTCAGCACTGGTTGTTCCACGAGCCTGGTGGGCTCAGGAGACCCCTCAGACACTTCAGGCTGACACCTCCCTTCTTACGCTGCCTTCTCTGCTCCAGCCCCGGCGAGCCACGGGCAGTGGCAGCACCGAGGGAACTTGGTCCCCTTCCTGAGGAGACCCAAGGGCAGCAGGGTGTCTGCCATAACACTGGTGACCTTGGACACTTCTCCTTTCTTCCTGGCCAGCCTGGGCTTGTGTTCCACTTCCAAGGAGGGGGTGGTGAGCTGTCCCCCAACCCGTGTGGCCGGCAGGCCCCGCCGCACCGCGTCCCCTGGGACAGCCGGACCCAAGCGGCAAAGAGACATGGGGGTTGGCTTTGGTGTTTGTGGATGAAGTATGGTGGTTGGGTTTGGTGTTTTCTGCTGTTTGTCAGGATGAGCCTCCAGCAAAAATTCCCTTTTCTCTTCCCTGTGTGTCTGTTTGTCTCAAATTTGGGCAAGTTTCATGTCTTTCCCCTCTTGTCCAAAGAGAGGATTTTTTATTTTCCCCTGTTTCCCTCCTGGTTCTGGTGTAGCTTTGGCCAGTACTACCCAGATGTACTCCCTCCTCCTCCTCCTCACACCTCTGCAGCCCTTGCCTCCTCCCTCTCTCCTGTCTCTGCCCCACATCCCATTCCTCAGTTATTGCCATTATCCATTGCCATGGCTTTATTTTACGCCTGTGCCTTCACCTTTGTGCACGCACAGAAGAGAAACCTTCAGCCCTAAGAGGAGCCACCAGCTCCTTCACGCAGCTTTCCCTTGCATGGCTTCTTTCTTTGCATAATTTCCCTGTATTTGAATTTAGGTACAGATTCCTCTTGACATGTAATCTGTGTGTGGTGGAACCTGGTCCAGGAGAAACAAGTCACCACGTGATTCGGTACAATCTGAGCTCAAGAGAGCCAAGTGATGATGTTCCAGGTCATTGGCGGCTCCAGGACTTGTTGCAGAACCACTGTCATTAGCTGAGACACTGTGTCTTGTTCCCTCACATCTCCCTTCACCTGAGGATTCCTGGTCAGGTGTGTTAAATATGTGACAAGCTTTCCAGACTGGTGGAAGATAACTGGAAGATACTGATTTCTTACACAGGTGAGGTGGAGGATGACCTGAAGGCTGTCGTTCATATCCTCCCACCTGCTGCTCTGTCCTGTGCACTGAATAAATCCTTTTGTTAAAGTCTGTGTGGGGTGTGCAGTGTCTTGCTGCTGGATCTGAAGGCCTGGGAGCCACTTATTTTACCTGTAAAATGCTCCTGAATGTGTGCTCAGGGAGAATTGCTAAAAACCAACGTGACTTTTGGAGGGGCTGAAGGATTTTTTTGGCTTTCCAAAAGCACCCAGGTGCTGCTTTTTGTAAGGGTGTCACTAAGTGTTTTTAAACCCGTGTAAAAGCAGCAGGAGGAGGGGGTTGAGATGACATGGGGATTGAGGATGAGGTAGGGAATTTTTCCCGGGCACCCAGCTGAGTGGAAAGCAAAAATGGGTCCCCACCAGGAATTTTTGGGCAAGGAAAGCCAGAGAAAGAGAGCTCAGAGAAAACAAACAAACAAACAAACCAAACACCACATGAAAACTTCAGCTGGAGCGCTTCTGCCTCTCTGTTTTAGGAAGCCCAGCACCAGCCTCTCACTCCCTAAACACACACAATTTCATCTTGGCAGCACAGAAAGAAGTGAAATACAAGTGTGTGTCCCCAGAGCCCGTGTTTGTGCAGCACTTCCACGTCAGGACATCCATCTGGGAGCAGCATGTGTGGAAAGCGTGTGAGGCAGAAACTCCCAGCACAGGAGCAACGCTGGAGTCCCACCTTTGCTTTTTCTGCTCTTCCCAGCAAAGCTGCCCTGCGGGCTCCACACTTCCCTTCTCCCAAAACCCCTCTGCAGGAGCCCAGCAGCACCAGCTCTCCTGCAGGGAAGCAGCTGCCCGTGGGGTGTTTTGAGGTCACGGTCGCAGCCGGCCCAGCGATGCAGTGACCGGCAGATGGCACTGGGAGAGACACCACTGAGAGCTGGGCAGCTCACAATTCACTGCACAGATCCCTGCCCAGAGCGCAGAGCTTTATTTAATCGCCAGCTTCACATGTAGTTAAGGATCAGATTAAAAATAACCTCCTGCCCAGGTGCCACGCCCGCTGCACGTTCTCGGTGCAGGCTGAGCTGCTGCTCCCGAGCTGCTCTGGGGGAAAAATCCACCCTGGGGTTATGGAGAGATGATAAAAGTGCAGCCAGAGCAGCTGCTGTTCCCCTGGGGTGAGGGCTGAGGGGCTGGAGCTGGGAGTTCATTTCAGAACCGCGTCTGGGTGAAGGAGAGCGTAGCGTGAAGTCCCCAGAAACAATACAAAGAGCAGAAGAGAATTTCTCCTCCCAGCAAAGTCAGGGCACTTGGGCAACAGCTGATTTTTTGCAGTGCTGGAACACACTCCTGCTCCATCACTGGGAGCCATTGAGGTGCTGCTGATTAACAACCTCCAAAATAATTTTAGGATTTGAGTATTTTATCGTTATTTTTGGGCTAGCGAACCTTGTGAAAGTTGTTGAGTTTTGTTTTTCTTAAGGTTTTGACTTCTGGAGACATGCTGTTGTGCAAGGACCTATTTATAGAGTTCCTTGCAGCAGAAAACTCCAAACCAGGAGGAAATCCGCTTTCCTCCTCCCCCTGCACCCCAGGACAGCAGGGCTGAGCCCTTCTCACACAGGCATTTGGGGTGGTGTGGTTTAATCCTAAATTAGGGGCCTAGGCAGGGGCAGGGTTTGGTGTGGAGCAGGGTTTGGGGAGGACACAGGACATTCAAGGGAGACTTTAACAGCATTTCCACTCCATTTCTGGGGTTGGCACCCCTGGCACTGGGGTGGCCCTGGCAAAGATGCTGCCAGGTCCTTCCAGCCCCACAGGTGGGAGGAGGAGAAAGCACTAACCATCAGCTGGGGTGAGTTGGGTTAAAATCATGGGATTTGTGGTGTTTATATGGCCTGCCTGCTGTGTGAGCCCCACCTGCCTGGTTCTTTCCACCCCTGGGGCCTGTTCCCAGCAGGGAGAGGGACATCTCTGCTGCTGGTTGAGGGAGAGGAGGTTTCTTGGCTTCAGCTCCTGAAGCTTCCCCTGAACATGGTAAGTTGGAAGGCTTGGGCTGAACACATACCCTGTCCTGGGGGATTTGCATCTGGGGTCATGATCCTGGTAGATCCATCGAGCTGCCAAATATTCCCTTGGAGTATTTGTGCTGAAAGTGCTCTCATCCCACAGTGTCCTGGGGGGTGCTGGGGGGGAACTCACCTTTCTTTATGTTGCTTCCTGGCTGCTTTTTGCTAAAAGAAGGCATCTGTCACTCTGTGCCAGTGGTCAGGGGTGATGTTGCTGCCTCACTGAGATGTGCTGAGGGATCCTGGACAGTCAGTCAGGTGGGAGTCCCAGATATCCACTGAATATAAGCTTGGCCAGCCCGTTCACCCTCCTCCTGGGCAGAGGCTGCCCTTCCCCTTGTGCCAGGAAGCCTTGGAGAAATTAAATATTGCCTTGGCAATATTTAGTTGGTGGACCCTGGAAGTCCCTGTGTTTTCCTGATGATGTATCCATTACAAACATGCTTACAGCAAGGACTATCCAGGGCAGAGAGAAGCCCAACCTGCAGCCCTTGAGCTGATTGAGGGTGAAGAAGCAGGTTGGGGCTTCATGTAGGATTTGTGTTGACTCAAGAAAGCCCCTCCTGACAGTTAAAACAGATGGTTTCAGCTGCTTGGCCAACCCAGTCTGCCCCACATCCTCGTGGTGTCCTGGCTGTGGCTTCCCTTTCACGCTCAGGATTTTGGTCAGACAGGAACAGCAGCCACCCCCCCCCCCCCCAGAGGTCCCAATCCACCAGCCAAGCTGACTTTAAGACAATAAAGACACTGTTTTAAACAAGTCAAATCAAGTTTATTTTCACAAGAGAATATCTCCAGTAATATTTTATTCATGGCTTCCAGCTCACACAGTTTCACTGCTCGAGGTTCTCTGCATTAACATCAATACCATGGAGGGGGACTGAGCTGATTCCACCTGGGACACACAGGATTAGTTCTTTTTGAGGGGATACCCCTTACATATAAGTGGATATGCCACTCTGCTCCCATGCTTGTGGTGCTATTTTGGCACCCTCCAAGCAATTTGTGGGCAGGAGCTGTGCCCCTTAGCAAGCAGCTAGAGGAGAGTAATGCAGCTAAGAGAACCAAGCTGTAGTTTTGCACAGCAAGTCTCCAGGAGTGCTGAAAAGCCAGATTTATGGAGAGAGGGCTGCATTCCTTCCCTGCTACACACTGCAGCATCCCCACCCACCAGCTGTGTCCCAGCCTCGCTGCAGCTACGCCCCATCCCAGCAGAGGAGCCTTGAACGAGCTGCTTCGTTCTGGGGAGTCCCACAGCCCAAGCAGTCAGGTCTGGCTGTGCCTGTGTGTTTGCTCAGGGTGAAATTTGAGGGCTCCAGTTTCTCTTTGCAGCTCTCTCCCTCCCACTTCATCTGAGAAGGTGTCCTCTGCTCGCCCTCGCTCCCGGGTGTCTCGGATCTCACGTGTGTCCCTGGCAGTGAGATGGTCCTGATAATGGCCTGGAATATCCTTTGGTCTTGTAGAACTGGTGCAGCCCTGATCGTGTTACAGCTCCACTCATGGTCTTGATCCTGCTTACTTTGGAAAATGGCAGAGGGATAGTCCCATCTGCTCCTAAGAAAGGGAGGAATGAACAATTCCCTGTTCCTTGCCAAGGGCCAGAGCTCTGAAGCGTGACCTCTTCTCACATGTCTCTTGTCAGGCATGTGCTACCTCCCTGGGAGAACCCAGAAGGATTAGGAATTGCTCCCTTTGGCTCATATCTCTTCCTTGTTTGTCTCACTTTAGGGCAAATTTTTAGTCTGAATCATTGGCTTATCCTGTGTAAATACCCAGGAGCCCAAACCTCCTCGCCAGGGTTTGCATGTCAGCGAGTTATGTTGATAGGAATTATCAGATCACAAAGAACCACCCTGTAACTCCATACCATGGGACAGCTGGGAACTTGTCCAAAACAAAATGCACTTCCTGAGCAGGGGCCAACCAGCCAGGTCTGCTCAGCTCCCGGGGCTCTGAGTCCACAGGCTAAGCTTGCCCTCGGGTCTGGTTCTTAACCCAAACTTCAGAATTGGGTGCAGCCAACTTAAGTCGTGACCTCAAATCTATCCCATTTGCACCAAAGTACCTGCTCCCCTCCAGCCCTGACAGACCAGAAAAGAACAACAGATTTAAACACTTTACAGCTTGAGCTCATCTCCTGCAAAAAGGGAGTAGGATTGAACACGAGGAGCTGATGCACAGCCCCATTTCACTGTTTCTCCTGCACCCATTAAACAGAGGTGGATTCTCTCTAAGCAGGTGGCTCCATGCTCATGTGCCTGAGGCAAGGAGCAGTTCCTGGAAGAATTGCAATCCTGGATGCTATAAGAGAAGAACCACTGAGTTGTTCAACAGCACCACGCTGCGTTTTGGGATCCTCAACAGAAGAAGCGATGCCTCGGGAGCTCCTCCAGTGCTTTTGCTGCTCTTTAAGGAAGGCAATAGACTGTATAGTTATCACCTGAAATGGGATCAAATCCCTCCCACCAAACTATACAACCTACTACCTCACCTCCAGAGAGCAGAACGGAGGACTCGCCTGACTCAGGGACGCAGCAGATTCACAGATTTGCTTTACTTGCACCACCTGGCTGTAGAAGGAGATGATGAGAACTTGGTGTAGAAGGAGATGATGAGATGCGAAGACCTGACTGTCTCCTTAGGAAAGACAGTAGATTGTATAGTTAGCTCAAAGGGAGGACCGGACTCCACAACTATTCAATCTACTACCTCAGCCTCAAGGACAGCTTGGCACCATGGCAGCCTAAGGCACTGAGATGATCCTTATCCAGGCAGCTGCTCCTCTGTGGCTCCTGTGAAGAGAAACACATGAAAAATCATCAGGATTCATCACGTCAGGGGAAAGGAGAGTCATATCCAACCTTGTCCTGGAGCGCTCCTTCCTTCTTTAAACCTCCTTCAGTCCACTCAGACCACACCTCACCTTGCAATCACACTGGCTGCAAACTTTATGCACCCAAGGGCGTACGGGAGCAGCAGCCCTGCCCTTGGAGCCCGGGGCCACACATGCAGATAGCAGAGCCCTCGAGAAACTGCAGCAACACCAAGCACAGCCAGCCAGGCTGACCTCACCTCCTGAACACACAGCGTATCTAGAACAAACCTGCCAGGCCAGATAAGAGAATCCATCAATTTAGCTGCTGTGCACTCCAGGGAATTGGGCAGATTAGAAATAACTGAGTACAAGGAAGCTTTTAGGCTGCAAATGCAATGGTATCGAGTACATCAAGGCAGATCTTATTTCCTAAACAAATGAGTGCAACATGCAGCCTTGCTGTCCCTCTAATGCTGCAGCCCAGCCAGGAGGTATTAGCATGGATCCAGACAGACTGGCTTCCCCCCAAGCCCTTGGCTCACCTTCTGAGACTTTCTCGTTCTCTGTACACCCAAATACAGATGCAAGGTATTAAGCTTGGTAGTTGAAAAGAAACGTGTGAGGTTCTTTTGCGATGAGAAAGAATTCCCCTTGGAGATTAAAGGAAGCCATAACGATGAGGGAGCCACCAGTAGCACGCCAAGCACGTGCATCACAGCAGAGACCCAAAGAGAGCTTCCCATGGGAGCTCAGCAGGAGATGTCCCCAGCCCCCTCAAATGTGCTGCAGTGGGAGAGGAGGGGGCTAAGGCAGAAATCCCCAAAGGGACAAAAGCTGCCTAATGCTTTGTGTGCTTCCACAGATAACAGCCAACAGCCTTAATAAGTGAGATTCCCAAAGGTTTGGTGAACTACTGTAGCTGGAATCCTTGTGAGAGTTTAGGGTGGCCTGGGGTACAAGGGAATCTTTGCAGCAGGCTTGGGAAGCGCCCCATTCCTTTGCAGAGCTTTCCACGAGTCCTCCTCACTGGCGTCCAACACAGCCCAGGTAGTTCTCTTAATTTCCTTGGACAAGCTGATCCTTCACAAGGAATGGCCCACTGTGCCAGGCCATCTGGCCCAGGCCACTCCTGGTGTGACAGGGTATGAACAATGTCCAAAACCCAAGGTGGCAGGGCTGATTCCTACAGCATTTAATATCCGGCCCATCCACAGGGCCAAGTACCTTCCATCCCAAACGGCCTTCTGACAGGAAACGCTGTTTTTCCTGTTTTATCAGCATAGAAAGTGGTGCACAGAGGTTGCTCATCGTTCTCAGCACGTGCAACGCCAGCCATGGTGGCAAGAAAACCAGTGGATGCTGCACTGGTGGAGGACTGGGGAGATGGGTAGCCCAGATGATTCCTGGGTGATACACAGAGGCAGAGCATGTTTGCTCTTCTGGGTACTGAGACTATTGGCAACTGACCTAGAGGAACAATTTTTCCTGGTTTCCAATCTGGTGGCTTATATTTTAAGCATATAAGCCAGATGTCTAAGCCAGGCATTTAAAAGGTCACTCTTGATACCATTGCAGAGTACAAGCATTTGGGCCAATCTCGAACTGTGGGTGGGAAATTACATTAAATAACTCTGAGATCACATAGATGTAATTATACACGGAGAGAGAGAAAAAAAAAATCCCTTCTGACTTCTATAAGTAATCCTGAAAACAGAAGATTTAATTATAATAATTGTCGTAATGAGTATAGGTTTTGGGAATACCCAGCTGCTGACTCTGCATTCCTGATCTTGCCAGGATCTGTGAAGAAAGGAGTCAAACAGGAGGATTTTAGAAATACTGTGCCCGGTAAGGATCACTAAGACCATCCTACCCTTAGTATCACTGTCACACTTGTTTGTCCTGTACAAATTGCAGAGACAGCAGCACCCTTTCCTGATGGCTCGTGGTCTAAACCATCAAGACAAAAAGTGAGGAAAGAAGGAGAAGCAGAGGGTGCGAAAATTTCCCAGGGATCACACAGCAAGTCGGTGGTGAAGCCTTGGGAAGTCTGGCTGCAGTCTCTGGTCACAGTGCCAGGCAAAGGTTTACCTGAGCCAGCCTAATCAGGTTAGGACAGGACCATATCCACCTCCCCCAGCTGTCTGTGAAGGGACAGGGAAGGAGGGAGCCCACCTTGGAGGGTAGCTGGAAAGGCTCCGAAGCTTTGAGGAGCTGATCTGGTTTATTAAGGAGCACTGAATGAAATGGAGGAGTGGGGGAGGAGGAAACCATAAAACAACAAAGTCCCTGCTTTAAAAGCTGACACCGCTTTCAGCCTTTGTGTAGCCGCGGTCCCGCGTGTCGGTGCCAAAACGTGCCGGGGACAGGCAGGAATTCTCAGTGGGAATTCAGGGCCCTGAGCCTCCAAGAGGATTTTCAGGCTCACGGAGCACGGGCTGGGCTGGGGCAGAACCGGCCCTGGCGTCCACGGAGCCGCCCGGCAGCGCTGGCACAAAATGGCTGAATGTGGCCATTTTGTCCCCTTGGCTTTGCCTGGAGGGGGACCCGGCGGTGGCTTCACATCCTCGCCTCGACACCTCGCTGGGATGGAAAAGTACAAAGCAAACAGACCAGAAGGAAAAAAAAAAAAAAAAAAACAACAAAAAAACAACCCAAAATAACAAAAACAAGCATGGAAGGTTTCGACAACTCCTGGGATGTGCAGCCACATCCAGCGCCGCTCGGGGCTGCGCGTTACGGGCTGGCAGCGAGGAACCCACTCACACAAAAAGCAGCAAACGGCCCAAAAAACCATCTTGGGCGAACCCTTTGCTACTGGAAAGCAAAAGAAGTGACATTTTACCAAGCTAGCCACGAGGACGAGTTGCTTTTAACTTCTCCCAGGCCAGGTGAACCGCTCGGCAAAGCAAGGCCAACCCGCCTTCCCAGACCCCCGATCCTAAAGGCACTATTAAATATCCCCTTTGAAACAGTTAATCAAAGGTACCAAGAACAGGGAAGGGGAAATGGAAGTAAAAATATTTCAAGTTCAATCCTGCAACAGCCCCTGTCTCTTAGCAATGCTTTTCCTCCACACACCTTTAATGACATAGGGAGTATTTCACAGCAGCTTGGTCATGGCATTTATTATTAAACAATTATCAGGTATCTTAATAAATAGCTGCTCATCTCTCTTAGGGGTTGTCTCGAGTCCTATCAGATGTTTCTAAACATCTGGATTATCATTAATTAATCTAATATTTTTATCTATAATACAGGCATCTGTAACTGCTTGTTACGTGACTTATCTTTTATTAAACCTTCTTAAACACATTATTAGAGGTGGCCACAGAGGTAATGGTTTTTCTAAACGTTTGTATATTTTCCTTGCAAATCTGCACATAATTTACCCTCTCCTGAGGCACAAAAAAAAAAAAAAAAAAAATCCAAGAATTTTTGTTACAAAAGAAAGGCGCTTCTTATATTCCACAGAGTAATTTCTCCAAATACTAAAAATAAAAGAAAAAAATATCTTTCAGGCTTATTTTTACCTGTTCTGTACTCAATTCTGTAGGTTAACTCAGAAATCTAAAGAAAGAAGATCCTTTTCTGTAACATTATATAAAAGTCTTCTATTAATACTGTTTTCCTCCTCGGAAAAGCTGCTCGTGAAAAGTGTTTAGGTAACGTCCACCTCTAACGTAGATTTGGACCAAAATATTTAATTTTCAACACAAACCACCCGCCCAGTGCCCGCACAAGCAGCCCCAGCTCCAGGACCAACCATCACCCGAGCGATTCCCTGTATTGCCTGTTCATAAACAAGCCAAGGAGATATGGAGGCAAATACCTTTCTGTGCAAGAAAAGCGATTTCACCTCTTTCTGCTCTCCTTCCCAGCTCCTCTCTGAAAGTGTCTCCTTCTCTCCACATGTCTGGACAGCCACTCAAGGAAAGGTAGGACGATCACTCCAACAGTGCTGCCTTATCAGAGCCCGATCCCCCCGTGCCACCGGACAGAGATCTGCTCCTCGGAGCGTCCATGAACGAAACGGCGTGACTACCAAATCCAAGACATCCAGGCTACTGAAGGAAATGCAGAATCACTTGGGGAAAAAAAAATTAAAAAATCGCTTTTATTTAGCGCAAGTTCTGGTATTTTTGCCATGTTTCTGTGCAAAATTTTATGGCAACGCCACCAAGTTGCCTTAAACTTTCAAGGCGTGTTGCTGTTGATGGCGTCTCTGTTGTGTGTCACACCTTAACGTGTGCAGGATACACACAGAGTGCAGTAAACAGGTTGTTATCACAGTTCAGCTCCAGCCTTGGGGGAAAAGCGAGGGCTTAAAAAGCCAAGAACAGCTATTGCTTTTAATATTTAAATTAAGATTTTTTTTTCCCTCATTTCTGAGATGAAAACTTCCAAGGCAAGAAGGCAATAAACAAAATAAACAAACCAAAAAAAAAAAAAAAAGAAAAAAATCCCTAAAAAAATATCCTCTGGATTACATCAGCTAAATCCAGGCACTGCCAGCTCAGTGGAAAGGTCAGATATCGTATTCACCAAAAACAAGAGGACACACAACAGGTTAAAACGCTACCGTCCGGCAATGACCGGCTCTGATCATACCAAGCCGATGTGTAAAACCATCCGCCCGTCCAAAAACAAATCAGACAACAGTGCTCTCTGGTACTTTATAAATCCAGGAGAAAGGAGGGCTGTTTTATTGAATGTAGCGAACAAACCTTTCCGTCCGGCTATTCCGTGCAGCCCTGCGACTCTGCGTGCACCGAGTAGCCTTACGCTGCTAACACAAAAGCTCACTTTGGCAATTCCAGGCATTTTCAGTGCTCAACATACGCCAAAACTACCCACTCTCTGACTCTGGGCTCGTTCCAAAAGGTCCTTTTTTTTTTTTTTTTTTTTTTTTTTTCCTCTCTCTCTCTCTCTCTCTCGCTACAGCCGGTGCCACGTAGAGACGGGAGAGTTGGGCTCGAATATGGCCGCAGCCTCCAAAAAAGAGCCAAGTCCCAGCGTCCCGGCTTCCCCCTTCCAGACGGAAAACAAAATGGCCATGGAGCAGCCATTTTGTTTGCTGCGGGATGGGAGGGAGAAGGGAAGGGAGGGGAGACGCAGGCCAGGAGGGAAGGATGGGGAGGAGAGGGAGGGAGAAGGGAGGGCGTCAATTCGGCAGGAACCCAAAAGCTCCGCAGCGGTGCCCGGGCGCGTCCTCCCTTCCTCCCGTCCAGCCCTGCAGCAGGACTGGGGTGGAGGGACGGACATGGAGTCGGCTTTTCCAGCCCTCCCAGGCTGGTTGAGCCTGAGTTGTCTGGTGTGACAGGGGTTACACTTCTTTCCCTGGGCCTGGCTGGCACCTCTATCCCGCCCGCTGGCACGGGCAGGGTCCTGCCCAGCTGCCGGCACCGCAGGGCTTGGGCTCTGCCAGAGCTCCCGATGGGAACCAGGCAGGAGAGCGGAAACCAACCCAGCAACGTCAAACTCCTGAACTTCCCTGGGCAGGAAATGGTGTAAATAACACCCGCAGGGAGGGGGAGAGGAACCCGGCGCAGGCGAGGAGGCCTTGGGGACAGCATGGCCTCTGCATCCCGGATCCCAACGGAGCAACCCGAGCTTTCCTTGCTTGCTCCTGTCAGGATGAGCCTGGCCCAGAAATGGAGGCTCTGCCCAGAAGGGCCTTGTGCCTGCAGAAAGCCTCACGTGAGCTCCGTGACTTTCGTCTTTCTGCCCTTGCACGGACCAGCAGCACAACTGCCCATCGTCCTGGGGAACCAGAGAGGCATTTCACTGGAGCCTCATTCCCTAAAGCACAGGGCTGAGCTCCCAGTTAGCATCCAGCAACGTGCATGGGTGAATCCCACCCTCGACCACAAACAATAAATCCCTTCAAATCCTGACCACAAAAAAAAAAAAAAAAAAGGCAATGAGAGGTTTTAGAGCAAAGCAAACACCTCATGACCTTTTTTGAGAGTATCCAGCATGGAAAGACCCTTAGGAGGACACAAATCAACACCCCCCGGGCTTTCTGCTTCTGTAGGTGGGACAAGCAATGAAAATCAGGACTATTCCCAGGATTTAGGATGGGTAGGAGTTCCCAGTGCCCTAAGGATGCAGGGAGCTGGAAATGCCAAAACATAGCTTTGAAGCTGTTACAGGACTTGTAGGACAATCCTTTAAGGAAGGTTGTTAATTGGACAGGCCACTTTTTGGCATATTCACATGGGATAAATTTAAGCCCTGGAGGTTGGACCTGCTCAGCTTTATCTGGTGAGTGGGGAAGGAAATTTCTCTGCAGAGTAATTCTGAGCAGAATGCCAGCATCTTGAGTTATCCTGTGAAGAAAGATGAAATCTTAAGACTGTTTTGAATAACCACTATTCCTCACTATCTGAACCCCACCAACTTCCTGCAAAGTAACCTGAGATGTCCAGGTGAAAATTGTTATGGACTTACTGTTTAGTAACTTGCTGTGATTGCTCAGGTTTATTAAAATATCCCTGAAAATAAGCATCACCTGTGAAAAAACCCTATTGAGAGCCTGCCCAGGATATCCTGACTTCTCTATGGGCTTGGTGTGGAGCCATGTGAGCTCAGAGGTAGGTTTGTGCCCTTCAGATTAACCTTGAAGTCTGGGTATTTTGAAGACATTTAAGAGATTCAAGGCTGGTTAATTTTACCAGGATTTGGGAAGGCAAGGCTTGCTTTGGAAATGCCTTTGCACAGAAAGAACAGTGCAGTTTCTTGTGCAATACTTTTCCAGGAGATGCAGCAAGACAAGATGCAGGATGAAGACCAAAGGGCCCTGGATAATTATAGGGATAGGTAAGAATGGCCACTTGCAGCACATCAGGTTGAAGCTAAGAATGAAATACAATTTCAGCTGCTCTGGCACCACCAATACTCTCTTCTAGAAACCCCCTGACAAACTGAGGAACTCTTATTTTGACCCATATTCTAAGGAAAAATGAACACAACAAAACAAGATACATTTACAAGACAGGGTGTTTTGCCTTTCCCAGTAACAGGGTCCCTGGATCAACTAGGCAGCACCTTCCTGGTGGTGCTGAGATGAAGCAATATGGAATTAGGAACATGCACAGGGCTGGGATTGCTGAAGATACCAATAGCACAGCCAAAATTGTCTGTAGCCCCTCTGCACGAGTTGCTTATTCAATATATCTTAGTCAAATGAGGGGAGTGCACAGGGTGAAAGATGGGGATACAGAGAATAAACAAAGGGGGATGTTTGGGAGGCTTATGGAAGGGAGAATGTAAGCAAGGGATTGAGATCAGGAACACACAGGTTTTTGTGGACCTGGGTTACTGAGGGAGCTGAGATGGTTTGTGTCAGGAGAGGGAGGTGTGAACATGATTAAAATGCTGGAGCTTCACAAAGGACAAGGGAGGATTTTTGCAAGGGAGATATTTTTGCAGCCTCCAATCTGGGCTGCTGTGGGCTTAGTAAACTGGTGGTAGATTAAGACGTGGTCATGAAAGGGGTCCCTTCCACAGGACAGGCCTCCTGCTTTGGTGCTTTCTGCTCTCAGGTGCTGTTGCTGTGCTCTCATTCAAGGCACACCCTTGACATTCCTGTTCAAGCTTCCAGTGGGAAGGGCCGTGACTGCCTGGGCTGGTTGGAAGCCAGGAGCAAGGGACTGGTAAGCACATGGCCCCATAATTAAGCCCTGGGAGACTCTGTTCCTCTGGGACATACCATTGCATGCAGGAGTTGCTTCTTCTGCACACACATCCTCGCTGCCAAGGATTGTCATTTGATAGGAGGTAGAGCACAGAACTCTCTGCCTCCAGGTCAGGGTGGGGAGAACAAGCCTCCCTTTTCTGTTTGTGACCAAGACTCGTGAGAAAAGGTCTGTGATGCTGTCATGGGTCTTGCAAGGCAGAGAACTCTACCCTTGTGCTCTGGCCCTGGGTTTTTTCCTACCACGCTGCAAAGCTGTGGAAATCAGCTGCTCATCATCATGTGTTCCAGTCGGAGGACTTCCTCAGCATCAAAGTTTCCCCTCTGGCTGTTTGCTGGAGTCTCTTTGGGTCTTATCCTTCTGGTCTGGTCACATCCCAGCGAGCCTGTACAAACACAGCCCCACTGTTGTCTCTCACATGCTCTCTCCTTCCCACACCGGCCATTTGGCTTCTGGGTCGTGAAATTTTAGAGTGGATGAAAATGTGAATGAGAAGATACCGGGGTTTAGTCATTTTCGTGGTGAGAAAAACTTTCCTGGTGGTATTGGCTTTTTATTCCTTAGCTGGTGCATGTGGGTGAAGCAAATTTGCCTTCTCTGGGTATTTGGACTGTTTGCCAGTGGCACTTTTCCTCACTGGGCCTGAGCATTCTGTTGGGAGTCTTTTTAGGACTCCTTCATTTCTGTCTTGAGGGAACTGTGTGCACAAGGCACCCTCAGCAACAACAAAATCATTTGGGAAGGGAAAAGCCCCAGACTTCGCAGCTGCATTGCTGAGCTCCTGCATCCAGTCCTAGTGAGTCACTTTGCTCCTGTTTCCTCCTTTGGGAGACAGATATTCCCTACCTGGGATGCTGAGAAGGTTAATTAGTTAATGTGCTAATTAACCAAATGTGCTTTGAACAATGGAATTGCTTGAGGCAGTAGATCCCATGAAGGTCCAAGTCTAACACTGGCTTTAACAAGATTGGGCTCCCAGTTCTTATCAGCTGGGACACCTTGCCCTCAGCCAGGGAGAAAAGAATTGAACTTACATGCATTATTCATACTTTTGCCACAGCACTTCTGAGGAAAAAAAAAGTCAGAGTCCATCCAAGCTCTTTCCTGCCTGCTTCTCCCACCAAGGATGGAGCTGCCTTCTCACAGACACAGCTCTGGGGCTCCCAGACCCAGGAAGCACAGAAATCCAAACTGAGGTTTTTGACAACTTTGCTGGTCTTTTTGCTACGTGCCCAGCAGTCTGTGTGTGACCCACATCCCATCCTGCTCTAAAGGATTCTTGCACACAGGGCAGTTTCTCCTCTCTCTTCCAGAAGATGGATGGTGGCAGAGATGGCAAGAGAGCACTCTGCCTGCTAAAGTGAGAGGTGGCTTCACTTTCCACATCACTGGGACCCAACCCAAACTGGATTTGGAGCTGCACGAATCCTGCAAGCCAAACCATGTTAGACTTTGACCAGTCCTGAATTCACCCAAAAGCCATTTTATGCAGCTGCAAAGCACCTTATGTGTCTGTGGAAACAGCTGAACAGGAAAGTCAAAACCCACAGAGAAGGTCTAAACCTTCTGGAACCTACTGAAAGGTTCCAATAGAGGTGTAGCCACTGGAGCTGATGAAGGTTGTTTTGATACAGAAACCTTTCTTGACCCAGGACGCCAAAGTTACCCCTCAAGAGTGACACTGTTCCCAGGCCATCCTGGGTGAGCTGGACAGAAGAGAAATGGTGACAGTTTAGATTGCTCAGGGAACTGAGTTTGAGTTCCAAATGTGAAACTAAATTCCCCTTCCACATCAGCTCTGCAAGCTCTGAAACTCTGCAGGTTTAGCTGAGTTCCTCCCCAGCTGGAACAGCAAGCTCAAGGCAGTGTCACAGCTATTTCTTCTCTGTCACATTTATACAATGCAAAGACCTAATCTTAAGAAGCTGAAAATCATAATTAGGCAGGCAAGAACCTGCAGTCTGAAGAATTCATCCCTCTTTAGTCTAGTCTGAGGCGTGTATTGTATGAGACTCTCCAGGGCTGAGTTTTCAGAGCTGCATTTTCAGAGCTGAACTGCTGCTGAAAGCAGGGCCCTTAAAATAAGCAAGATTAGCAAATGTTCCCACCTCCAGCAGTTCTGACAATGACACCAACAGACACATTTTCATCACCCTTTTGGTTGAGCCCTTCTGGAACCGTGGACAGATTTTCTACGTGGAAAGTTCTTTATAAAACTCCCCCCACCCCCACCTCCAACATAGGAACGGTACAGATTCCTAATTGCAGCCAAGTTTGACCACAGATACCATTACACACATCCAGCCCTTGGCCCTCTTTGTGGATGCAAAAATGCCTTGGAGAAACAATATTAATATGGCTTTGCTAATTGATGGTATTTTGTTGGCTTTGAAGCATCTGTTGATTGACCATCCTCAACTGTCATTTCCTAAACCCAGTTTTTTTCTTGTTGTTTATCTTCCCTGGCCTTGTTCACACACAGCCACCACCCAAAAACCTCTCTCTGTCCAGGGAGCAGGATTTATCACTCCTATTTCACTAGCAGCAGAACAATATAGGGCCTGTACAAACAGCTCCTGCTGTTTTCTTTTGCTTTCCATTTATTCCTTAGTGGTAAATCAGTGCATTCCAAACCAAACAAAAATCAGAAGATTTAGGACCCAAAGAGCAGACCTGAGCAAAATAATAGGGGCTGAGGACAGCTTGCATTTAGGAATGGAGCAACAAGTAGCCCTTGAAAGCAAATTAAATGTTTAACCTGTGCTGCATTCCTCAAATTGTTCCTGGTCCTAATGACACTTTGGCACTCAGCAAATGGCAGGATCAGGTGCCTGGATCCCTGAACTCCACACAGGGAGAGAACTGGGCTGAGCACATAAACTGCTCGGGGTAGGGACCATCTTTATGTGGACAACACTTGGGGTGATGGATCCTCCCAGGACACTCCAGTGACCACAGGCAAGAGCCTGTATAAGTGCAGGTCCCACAGGATACTGGGACTGGGAATTATAACCTGAAAATTTTTGTCCCAACTCTGTCACCAAGCTTGACCTTTCAGAAGGCCCTAAAGGACCACACAAGTTTGAACCACTGCATTACAACAAAAAAATCAATCTGCACTTCCTTGGACTTCGTTTCAGCCCAGGCTGGTGTGTTGGCCTGACATTTGTAAGCCAAGGCAGGGCTGCCACCTGGTTTTTGCACAGTGGGACAAGGCTGTCGAGGAAAAGAAGGTGAAATGAATCCTCAGGATCCTGCAGCAGCACCTCTCAGCTTTAACAGCGTTCTCACAGAGTGGTTCTGAGAGCCCAGTCCCTTCCACCACCGCGTGGGGACCGGACAGCCCTTGCTCAGGATCCCGTGGGATGAACAGGGCTTTGAAGCCGGGCAGCCAAACATAATCCACCTCTACCTGCTGGTGGCAAAGCTGAGCTCGGAGGAGCGGGCAGCGCCTGGAGAGCTGAGCTTATCTCTGTGTTACAGGGATCTCTTTGAACGCCTGTTCAAAGCCCTTTGGAGAAGGCGCCCGCCCTCCCCGCCCCCGGAGAAGAGGCTTTTCCTGGGCTCGGTCCTGCTGTTTGCAGCCATCCCGGCCCCGTTTGTGGGAGCAGCTCTCCCGGGACTCCCTCCCTACGCCGTCACGGCTCAGAGCGAGCCTTGTTCTCAAGCCTGCCTGGAGTGGCCATGGCAGACAGGGATAAAAGCGGTGCCCGGGAGGAATCTGCCTGCAACGGGGCGTGCGCGGCTGATGCGCAAGGATGAACAGATGGGTTGATTACACAGGGAGAAATGGACACTAATCGTATCCAGATTCACCAGCTGCAGGATTTCCTCCTGAGCCCTCAAGTACAGGAAGCCCTTACCTGCTTCGTTATCCTGTCTCTGTTCATTAGCCCCTTTCCCCCGCCCTGGGAACCGCGTCTCGCTAATCCCCCTGGGCAGGGGAGGACCCAGGCTGCAAAGCTGAGATCCAGATGGGAACTCCCACAGTGCTCAGGCATGGCTGGATCCAGCCTCGGGTCAGGGGCCGATCCTGGCTGTCAGATCCAGCACAGCCTCCACCAGCTCACGTTTCCCTACTCTGGGAGCTCGTTGCCAGACTCTTCTTTTGCTGCTGCCTCTCTGAAGAGCCTGGAAGATTTCAGGACTAACAAGAGCAAGGTGAACAACAGAGACTGTGCTGGGGTTCGACACATTATTATGTGTCTTCACATCTCTGCTGAGGTGCAGCCGCTCCTGGGGTGGAGTGTGATGAGCGTTAACAGCACATGGCTGATGGGGCCAGGGAGAGAAGGGTGTTTCATGGATGGAAAACAGCAGAGGCAATCCCCCAGCAGGCTGTAGGACGACTGGACAGACTGAACTGGGAAGTGTTATTGGAAACTTCATCTCTATTCTTATTCCTGGGAGGCTGAGAGCTGCTGAGTTGTTGGGTTTCATCACCTGCTTGGATTCTGTGCAGCCAGCTTGGAGAAGGAGCAAAGCCCTCCTAGACCCCTTTATCCATGTCCCTCTGCATCCACCCCAGCTCTCTTCAGCTGCAGTAATGTGCTCCCAAGGCAGAGTGGCTGGAAGGATGATCCCAGGCATCCTCCCTTGGGGGCTGCTCAGCTCATAAGTTCTTATCCTGATCCTTCTCCCAGAAGCTGAAGCTGTTGATCACATTGGTATCAGCCCCTGACCTGACTTTTGGTGGAGTCTCCACATGAGAAGAACTGTTTGTAAAACATTATAACCCAAACTGTTGCACCGAGTTGGGCTTTTGGGACCTTCTCTCTTGCAAGCCCAGGGTGCCTTCACTCCCAACCTGAGCTCTGTTGTCAAACTTGGCACAAGAAAATGAGCCTGCTCCCATCCTGCTCCCATCCTGCTGCCTGCTCCCAAGCCACTCTGGCTCCACGTGCCAGGATGCCACGTGCTGCCCCTGCAACCTCCGTTCCCCTCACCAGAGCTGATGCCCAGCGCCGAACAAGCCACGACTGAAGGACAGGAGAACCACTCCCTGAATTCTTGGGTTTACACCAGAACCTCCCTGCCCAGGCAAAGCTGCTTCAGGTCCCCACGCCTGGCACTGAACCATCAGCACAGACCATCCCAGGAGTTCAAAACAGACCCTGAAGACTGAGCAAAAGGTGGCTGTGGCTGCCCTGCAGAGCCCTCAAGCTGGAAGGAGGAGGAGGAGGAGGAAGCAGCACAATGCTTATCATGGTCTTGCAGGTGAGGAGAAACCTCCTGCCCAGTCCTGCATGAGCCTGGACTGACCTGGGATGAAGGGCCATCTCCCTTAGGCTGGTCCTCTGTTCCCAAGCCCAGCAGGGCAGTGACACTGGTGTGCTGGCAGCAGCCACAGGACAGGACACCACTGGTGTGGGAGTGAGCAGCAGAGGTGCTTGCAAAGCCACCATCCCACAGACCTCCCAGAACCCCAGAACTGGGTGATATTTGGTTGTCATCACCTCAACAACACAACACCCACTTCTTAGACCCCACAAACCTCGCGTCACGCACGTGTTGGTTGTGTCCTTCTCTGGGCTACTTCTCTTACATTTCCTGTGGCCAGGACCGTCCTGTGAGTGACCTTAGCATGCCAAACCCTGCGTGTCCCGTGGGCTTTCCAACTGCAAAGCCAGACAGCACAGCTCAGTGCCCATGAGCAACCCTACAATAACAAAGCAGCCACCTCGCTTTGTCCTCCCAGGCCTCACCTTTGGCAGCAGCCAGTTATGGAAGTTAAACAGTAGCTATGAGCAACTCCACAATAACAAAGTGGTACTACAGAAAAAAAGCAGGGGGAAATTAGGGACTGAGAGAGGTGCAGGAAGGAAAATAAATGGTGTTCATTCTTCTGATGCCCAGCTGTGGGGTGGTAGAAGGTGGATCAGATCAGGATGTGCCTGAACACCGTGTTCTTCATGGTGCATGAAGCTTCCAGCATCAGCTCTCCCTTGGATGGGTTTCTGCAGGGATCTTGAAAAACTTGTGCCCCCAAATCCATTGGAACAATTTTTGGAAAGGCTGAGGATGAAGCCTACAAAGCCCAAATTCAGTCTCACTGCCTTTTAGCCCCTCTTTGCCTACCAGAAATGGTCCCTGGAGTGGTGAAGCTGCTCACATGGATGGTCCAGCACAGGGGAAGCTTTTCCCCTCGGGTCTGGCCTGTGGAAACACAGAGCTCAGCGTTTTCTGCAGCTGTAAATCAGGCAGTTCTCACCAATTTAAGTTTTGCTCTGAGTTAAGGGGGGGAGGGGGGTGGCGGGTTTAAAAAAAAAAAAAAAAAAGAAAAAGGAAATCACAATCCAAACTCTGCCTTGGCCAAACTTGGTCCTTTTAAGGAAAGGAAATTTCCCAGAGCCACCCTCGACAAACCTGGGGGCCTGATCCTGCTCTCAGGAATGTCTGTGCAAGTCCAGAGTGGCTCTGCTGCCGGCTGGGGGGTTACAGCAGCCCACCGAGGCTCGAGCCTTGGAGCAGAGCAGCCCAAAAGCAAACTGGGTTTTCAGAGGCAATAAACAGCAGAAAGATCTGACTCCCTGTTTCAAGAATTCATCCTTTCTGCTGAGCCATGTTCTGGAAGCACGAGCCCTATTTTGCTGCGAGCTGTGTGGAATAAAACAGCTGTGTCCCTTGGCTGGACGGCGCTTCCAGGGGTGCCAGATGTTTTGCTTAGGACACGTCAGAAGAGCCTTGCTTGAGTTCAGACTTTCTCTCCTCCCAGGCCGCTCACAGGAGCTTCAGTGGTTTTGGTTTGGTTTTTTGGTTTGTTGTTTTTTTTTTTTTAATATCTGCCCTCCACCAGCTTTTCCCAGGGAAGCAATAGGAATTGGGAGCAAATTGGGAAAGGTCTGGTTTCACCCCAGCCCCTGTTTGTATAAATAATCTGCAAGGGAAAAGCTGGACTGATGAGTAAAACACTTGTGCTTGCCTTCTCACTGGAATTAAGGGTCTGGATGTAACCTGGTGTGTACACACACTCTGCTGAAGAAGGAATCCCAACACATTTTGGGGGTCTGACCCCACAAATACCTGACTGCCCCCAGCTCCTGCAAGAGGGGAATTTCAGCTTCCAAACTGAAGGGAGGTTGGCTGTGAAAACCCACCTATGGCTGTGCTGAACGGGGGCTTCAGGGCTGGACCCTGGCATCCCAGACACTAAACCGAGGTGCACGAGGCCACACAGCTCCCTGTGGGGTCAGGAAGATGTGCAACATCTCTGGGAGGCTCTCACCATCCTGCTGGGTGAGGCAATTTTGGGGATGTTCCCGGAGCACGGCTGATACAGCCTGTGCAGGCCGGTGGGTCACGGAGCCAAAGTAGGGCCGGGGCATTTGGGTGCTTTGTGGCCACTTTGGAGGCTTTACTGTAGGGCCACGTGTCACTCACTGGAAAAGGTTTTGTTCAGAGAGAGGAGGAGGAGTGGGCAGGCTGGGCAGGGGGCACGAGGAGGAAAAATTTGGTGAAGGAGGAGGGGTGGCTTTCATGGTTCCGAGCGCCTGCAGAGCGCGCAGCGGTCGGGAAGGAGGGCCCTGCCCTGCAAACAAGCTGCTTTTGTTGTGTCCCAAACAGGCCTAAATTAAGTTTGACAGAAAGAGGGCAGATTCACCCGCGCCAGGGCAACCCCTGGGCTCGGGCAGGGCCAGGCCGACCTGAGGAGCTTCGGCGTGGCGGTGCCAAAATCTCGCCCCGGTGCGAGGCGTGAACCTCCACGAGGCAGGAGGTGCCGGGTGGCCGAGGAGGGCCCCGTTAATCATCCCGATGCCTTCAAAAAGCAGCTTCCTCCCAGCAGCGCCCGGCTCGGCCCGGAGGCCGCCATCGCTCCAGGAAAAGCTGCCTCCGGAGCGCTCCCTCGGCCCCGCTCCCGGGCATCTCCCCGGCCCCGCGCCCGCCCTGGCACGCCATGCCAGGCGTGGAAAACCAGCCAGCTTCTAAACAGTTAACGCTGACAAAACCAGGCGGCTTGAGTTCCCTCCTTCCCGGATCGCTCCTGGTGTAATTCACCCCCCTAAAACGATATAAAATTATCCTCTTCCCCTGACCTCGCCCGGCTGTCCTCGCTGCTGTCCTCCCTTCCTCCCTCTCCCTCCATCCGCCCTCCCCGTGCCCCCAGCCCGCGCTGGCGTGGCCGGCCGGGAGCAGCGTGCCCACCGTGTGCCCGGCGCTGGGAGCTCCCACCACGTTTGCTGCGGCTGCCATGTTGAATTGCAAATCCGACATGATTCGACATATTTTTTCCCCCCTCGCTGGTGCTCGGCGGGGAGTTCCGAAGCACCCGGGCGACACGCACCCAGCCCCGGGTGGCTCTCGGGGACGTCCCGGGTGGTGGGGCGAGGGCGGGGAGAGAAATCACCCTCCAGTGCTGCTCCAAACACTGCACGTAGGGACCTGCCTATCTGCTCTACATCCCTCTACAGGAGACCGATTAAAGTCGGGTGTTTTAGCACCAAGGGCCGGAGGATTCGGCGGGAAGGCATTTCGGGGGGAAGGCAGGTTACAGCAACAACAAAGCAACGGAGCAACTGGAGGAACAAAACGTTATTTCAAATCAAAGGCAAAAGAAAAAAACCCCAACCGCATGAACAAAAAGAACCAAAAAAAACACCAAAAAAAAAAAAACCCAACCAAAATTAAGAGTGAGGTTCGATTTCGTACCAAGGCAGCAAGAGAGACGCACCGTGGAAGAGAGTGGTTTTGTTGTGGAGTAGTGGCTGGATTTAGCTCCGCTTATCCGGACAATCATCGGGGAAGGATCCTTTTCCGAGAAAGGCCAGTTTGAGTGAGACAGCTTTTTTTTTTCCCTTCTCTCGCTCGCTCTCTCCCCTTTCCTTCTCCTCGCAGCTCAACGCCAAGAAATGGGCGGTGCCTGGATGCCAGGCTCCATCTGAACGAGACACCCAAGGCCAACGGAGGCTGGCACAAAGGCGAGCTGGCAGGAATTCCTGCACTCGGAGCCGCGCGCCTGTGGGACGAGCCCGCCACCTCCCAAAAAAATCAACCTCCGACACCGCCCGCTCCGGAAAGTTGCCCCAATGGGCTCGAGAACGCCCCATGAGGCTCAAGCACAGGGTGAAAAAAAAGGACAAGGGGAGGGAAAAAAAAAAAAAATCCAAGACCTTCCTTTGCATTGACACAGGTTAAACAAAAGGCCTAGGGAGGTGGATTATTTTTTTTCCGCCCTCCCCATGCTCCTTTTCCCGCCTACCCATGCCTCTCCTCCCTCCTCTTGTCCTCCATTGCCGTCTCCCTTGCCCACTGCCCTGGTGTCCAGGCAGAAATGATCCCTTGGCTCCCTCCTTCCTGGTTTTAGCACGACAGGAGGTGGCGAGTTCTTGAATAGGAACACACACACCCAACGCGAGAGGGACCCGATGGGGGGAGAAAAACAAGAAGGGGACAAAAACAATTTATACACATACAAACAACAACCCACCCGCCATGGAGGGCGGCTGGGAGCAGTCACTGCCAAGGGTGGTGGACTGGGGGCGGTTTGGGTGCCAGGGGGTATTTTTGGCCTTATTTTGTTGCTGCCATAGCACCTGGTTTGTGCCGATTGTAAAAGGGAGTCGCGTCGGGTTGAGGAAGGGAGCGGAGGGGGGGCAGCTGGGGTTGGTAGCGCTGCTGGGGAGATGCCAAAAAACCAAAACAAAACACGTTTTCATTTTGTCTGCACCAGCCTGGGCGCAGGCGAGCGCGGGAGAGAGGGAGGGAGAGGGAGGCGCACGCCAACAGAAACCCGCCGCGCTCAGACGCGGGCCTGCGGCCACGTCCCTCCGCAGCCGCCCCAGCAGCCGTTCCCGCTCCCTCGTCCCCCTCTCCCTGCCCACCCGGCTTCGCCTGCCAAGTCCGAGTTGGCACAGCTCCCCTGGCTGCGCCGAACAAAGCCGTCACCCATCCCCGAGCCGGCGCTGACAGTAAGCAAAGTGACAGGCGCATCTTCCGCATGTTAATCCAAACGGCGAGAAGGCGAACGAGCAGCGGAGGCCCCCCCTTGCCATGCACACACCCCCCGCCACCGACCCACGCACCCCACCCTTGGCACCCGACGGCCCCGATGGCCTCGTGCCGGGATGGCGAGGCCCCTGCCGGCGGGAGCACCGAAGCCTCCTCGTCGGCGAGGTTTAAATTGAGCCGAAGCCCTGCTCGGCGGGCAAACGAGGCCACTCGGCATCTGCTGTACCTGTTCCCGCTGCCTTCATCTCGCCTTGGAACCGTGACAAGAGCGCACTCGCCTCTGGTGGGCTCTCAAAGCCGCGGGTCTGTAACCCTTTGCAGGAAGTTGGCACCGATCCCAGGTAGGACTTTACTCCCCGGCTCTCGCTCTCTCTCCCCCCACCTCCGCCTCCCGCTCCCTCCCCTCCGCTCCCCCACCCATCCTGTCCCTTGGGCCCCTCTTGCGTCCCCCAAAACACCGAGCGGCCCCCGCTCCCCCTACGCTGCTCACCCGCCCCATCGGCCGGGGGTAACGTGGGGGGGCGGCCGACAGCTGCTGGGTGCCCACCGAGCCCCTCGCGCCCACCGCCCTTGCACACGTACCCTGGAAGGATGACCTGGGCAAGACAGAGAACAACAACTTCCTGCTCTGGCTCCCTAAAACGCCTGTTTCCACGCAGGGGTTAGGCAGCGCGGCGAGACGGGGGGAGCTGGGAGGAGGTTTGGGGGTTTGTCGTCATTGAACCAGGCTTTTTTTTCCTTTCCCTTTTTTTTCCCCCCTTTTTCTTCTTTTTCTTAGCCTTTTTTCCCTTTTTTTTAGCCTTTTTTCTATTTTTTCCTGCCTTTTTTTTCTGTTTTTTTTTTTTCCCCCTAAACATATATTTTTGCCTGGCAGCCCAAACCCAACGTGAAAGGAAAGGGGGGGAAGAGAAATCAAATGGGAAGAGAATAGCTCCAAGTCGGCAGGACAATGCACGGGAAACGGGGAGATTAGAGTAGCTCTCGAAATCCATCACGCCCGCCCCGTTTCTGAACCGTTCGCCCCCGCGCCTCGTCTTTTTTAATTCTCCCAGCTCCTGAATTATTCCAGTCCACGAGCGGGAGGAGAGCGCACAGTCCAGAGTCCCTCAGAGCTGCCAAGAGCATTGCAACAGGAAAGAAAGGAAGCGAGAGAGGGAGAGCCAGGCAGAGCCCTCACAATCGAGCAGCGAGAAGAGCAAGGAGAAATTAACATCCAATTAGTGCCGTGTTTAACGAGGGAGACAGAGGCGGCTGTTGTTTTATTGCCCTGTTCTTTTCAGGCGCATCTGACAGGCAGCAGGGAAGGCACCCCTGCTCCGAGTGACGTCATCATATTTTATTTTTTAATTATTTCCCCCCCCCCCCTTCCTCCCCCCCAACGTCTTTCCTCCTTTAAGTTTCGCACAGACGGATCTCGGCAACTCGGCCAGGGAAATTTGGGACTTTCTCGCATTCAAGCCACCGGCTCCCCCCTCCACCTCCAGCCTCTCCCCCCTCCGTCCACCGACACCAACCCCGGAAAAATAACCGCGCCAACCCACCCCAAAGTCTTTGTTCTTCCAAAAAAAAAAAAAAGAAGGAAGGAAAAAAAAAAAATAATAAACGTTGAGATGAGAGCCGGAGGGAGCCCGGAGGAGGTTTCTCCGCGTGCGCGTCCGAGTGCGTGCGTGCGTCCGTCCCCTCTCCCGTCCCTCTCCCCAGACGCTCGCTCGCCTTGTAAAACTTTGCGGCATGTGACGCTGCTCCGGCCTCCTCTGGCAGCTTGACAAGAGCCGCCCGGCCGCAGAGCGCAGGCGGCTTTTAAGGGAGAAACTCCATTCCGAGGGATTAGAGGATTCACATGCTTCCAGCGAGGGCTGGGGCCTCGAACAGCGGCCGTGGTGGTGATGTGGACCCTCGCCCCGCCAGCCCGGCTGTGGGGTCACAGCGGGGGAGAGGAGCTGAGTTTAAAGCTGGGGAGGCTTTTTCTCCCTCCTGCTTCTCCCCCAGGATGGAGGGCCCAGCGCCATTCGAGCACCAAGGGAGTTGTATGGGGGTCACAGGGAAAGGAGTCTCGGCCCATCCTGTGTTGCCGCCTCTTCTCCAAAAGGCCCAGGTCTCCTCGGGGTGGGATGAAACGCCGCTGGCTCCCCACGAGAGCGCTGCCATCCCAGAAGGGGACAGGGCGGCTCATCTTGGGGGGATTTGAGGGAGTTTCCCTCCCCAAAAAGGCCTGAAGCAGCAAAGGAGAGCATGGAAGCAGCTTCCCCATGTTCTTCCCACCCTCTTACCAGCTACCAGCGATGGATGGAGCTGCCACTGTCAGCGTGGCAGGTCAGGGCACTGTGCTGAGCTTTCCTTTTGTGCCCTTCATGGCCTCTTCTCCCCGTTTCCAGCTGGGATTTCCCTTGTCCAGGGGGGAAAATAATCCAGCAGAACCCAGCTCCTCCAAAACCCCCTGCTTCAGATGAAGGCCATCCCAGGGGATGGGGCTGCCCTGCTCCCACCAAGGACAGGGCCAAGTGAAGACAGGGGACAGGGACAGGGCCACCGTGCCGCTGGTGCCTGGGTCCAACCCAAGTCCCCACCCTGAGCATTTCCTGGCACCAGCCGCTCCCACCACCCCGGTGGCAGGATCTCCTCCGTGAGGGTTATTATCTTATATATATAAATGTTGGTTTTTTTAAGGAATTATTTGCCTATGTGGAGCTCGGCGCTGCGGCAGAACAGCACAAACAGCCTTATCGAGGGCAGCGCTGCCGCAGGGCACTTCCTCATGCACAGCTGCAAAACGGGGCCCTCCCTCACTGCCAGGAGGGTTGGCAGCCCCTGGCCTTCCCGCTGACCAGGCACCAGGGGGATGGACACCATGCAATCCCGAGGAGAGGTTTTCTGGGATGTTTCCCTCCTGGCTGGGAGAGGTTTGGACTGAACTGAAAGGTCTTTAGCAGGACGGCTCTGCAGGGGGAAGGGGGAGGATGGTGCAGTCGTCAGCTGCACCTCCCTAGGCACAAAGGCTCCACCAGCATCTCGCTGCTCCCTGAATCCTGCCAGACCCAAGCATTCAAGCTCTGCGGAGAGACAGACCTGAGAGAGTCTTGACCTGAGATTCCCTCTCCCGGCTGCAGTCGCTGCCTCCCTTCTCCCCCGGGCAGCCGGGAGCAGACGAGGCCAAAGTCCTGGCAATCTCTGTGTTCCACTGAAGGCTGATAAGCCGAGCAGGCAGGGAACGGCAGCGATCCCCACCCATCCCCGTGTTGTGCAGGAGAGTCAATATTTAAGCACAAGTTTGTTTCCTGGGTGGATAGAGGAGCGTCGGTGGGAGAAATCCCCAGCTCCATCCCGGGCGCCTGACCCAAACCTCCTCCTTCCACCCCTTCATTTGTTCTCCCGAGCACATGTTTCACCCTGGATCCCCTCTCCTGTGGGGATGGGGCCCCATCCCCATTGGCTGAGCTGCTTAAGCACCAGCTGCAGGGCCAAACACTTGCTAATGGGGTAGCAATTTAAGGAATGCCCAGGCAGGGTTTGGGTTGTCTCCTTGCCTGCTGCTGGTGCAGACACTGTCCTTGCTGTGGGACACCTCAAATGGAGTGTGGGATGAGAAGAACCGGGGATAGAAATGGGTAGAGGCGAGGAAATATTTAATTATCCTGAGAACGGCAGCCCCTGTTTCAAGGTAAGGCAGTGAACTGAAGGCTTTGAAACCTGGTTTTCAGTTAAACTGAGTGAACAAAAACTGTATTCAAGTGTTGTGTTTACAGCAGAGTTTGTGGGTCCTGGAGAACTGGGCAGAAATTGCTGGCAGGGAGCTCGCTCTGGTGCAGGTTTAGGAAAATTCCTTAGGTAAATTCCTTAAATAAATTCCTCAAAGGACAGGAAATAGCACTTTTCCCTGCAACGGCTGCAGCCAGGTTGTGCACAGGCTGGAGGAGGTTTCACAGGCATGTGACCTGCAGAAAATCACCTTAATTTGGAGGGTAAAGGTATCATATTCTGGGGCAGGTGGTGTTTGATCTGGGAGATGCAGTGCCCAGTGCTGGAACAGGCCAGAAAACAGTGATAAAAGGCTGGTGGGTGAGGATGCTGTGAGGGGGAAGACGGGAGTGGCTGATCCTACCTGACAGGTCTGACAGCAGCAAAGGGTCTCCAACACCCCTTCCAGAAGACTGCAGGGTCAATTTTAACTCCAAAAACCTAATCCTGTGTATATTGTATCACGCAGCCAAGCCCTCTGCTGCCTCCACGTGCACCCATTGCACTTTGCTCAGCCTAAACTTCCTGACCTTCCATGGAGGTGAGGAAAATCAGGGGGAAACCGAGTTTGTAACGGCTGGTTTAGCTCTGCTTTGGGGAAAAGACCAAAGGAAATGCCTTGTCTTAAACTGAAACCTTCCCTGAGAGAGCCTGTTATGCAGAAAAAAAAAATCACACTGTAAAAACCAAACAAAATACAACCAAAAAAACCAGGAACACCCAAGAGTTGTTTTATAGCTGTATTTTGGAGCATAATTAAATCCTCTTTGAAATCATCTCTGGTGTTAGGGAACAGGTCCATGCATTATTTAACTTCTGTTACTGTAGCACAAATGGGGAGGGAGGAAGGGAGGGAGGACAGGACCAACTTCACTACACCGAAGGGAGCTGGGTGGGGACTGCCAGTCCCAGCAAGTACCACCACTGTCCTGCAAGCCCTGCCTGGGAAGTGTGGATCGACCCTGTCTGATGGAGAAAAGCCCTGTGTGATGGCAGGCCAGGGTCCCCAGAGGACCAGGATGAGATGTGACCTGAGCTGGTGCTCCTGCAGCACACAGGAACCTGCTCATGGTCCCCACAACCTCCTCCCAGGGAGCACAGCATCACCTCTGTGCAAAAGACTGCTTCGTGGGGGAACCAAAATGGGGAAATCTGCCTGGCTGCCATCACAGCACAGACTGGTGCAAAGAAACTCTTTGTCTGAGCATAAATCCTGCCCTGCTGCCACCAGTGAGCTCTGCTACACACACAGAGCCAGCCGTGCTCCTGCGAGCCCTTGACCCCGATGCCTTGTGAGCCTTTGGCCAGCTCCAGGTTTATTCCTTTATTCCAGACAGCCCTGGACCGTGTGCCCCTGCTGCAAGGGAGCCCTTTGTGTGCAGCACTGGCATCCAGTGCCTCCATGTCCATCAGTGAAGGGGCAATGCCGGGGTTTGGGAGCCCAGCAGGGCTCCTGGTGCTGCTGCCTGGGAGTTGCCCATCAGTGCAGTCGGGCCAGTCCCACCCAGCTCCCCTCCCTGCCTGCCCAGCCCACACCAGCAGCTCTGTTGGGTGAACCTAAATACTAAAATCCTTCCCAAAGCAGTGACATCAGCAGCATATATCCCTCCCCAAGTGCTCTCTCCGTGTCCATGTCCCAACACTGCCCTGAGCTGAGCTGTACCTGTCTCTTTGGGACTCTGCTGTTCTTTGTAGTGGGATTGTATCCCTTCTTTGTTTTGATCCTATAATTTCCCTCTCACACCCGTGGGAGGTGGGGTGCTCCCAGGTGTTCAGGTACCCTCAAACCTGAAGTATGGATCCCAGGTTGATCTTGCCCAGGATGAGCTCCCTGCCACACAAAGGTGTGCCCTCTCCAGAAGGATGAGGCAGGAGGGTGGTCACCTGGCATAACCTTTGCAGTGAGGTGACCTTGCATCTCCTGCTGCTTCTCAGCTCGGGCAGCACGAAGCAGTCTTTTGTTCCTGCATCTCAGGGCTGGCTCCTTTAGTACCTGGGCATTTTCTGGATTCCTGGACCTCCCCAGTGACTCCAGAGCTACAGCCTGGACCAAAGAGACAACACAACGCCCTTCTGCTCTTTCTGCTACACATTCCAGTTGAGACAGCCATGAGGATGGAGCTTTGGTCCAGCTGGAGCCTGAAGCCAGATGTCCAGAAGCCAGTCTGTCACTGGCCTTGCTGGAGAGGAGGTGTCAGTTCTGGCACCGCGGACTTCGGATCGGAGAATAGAAATATTACACATATCGAAACAAGCTCGGGGTTTCTTGAGGAGTCCACGTCCATCAGCTGTCCCTGCCGAGGGTCAGTCGATGGGGAAGGAGGCAGCTGGGATGGGAGCCCTGCGGAAGAGCAGGCTGGAGCCACGGAACAGCTGCCCCTGCGGAGGAGAGCGAGCACAGGGTCAGGGCAGCCCTGCCGAGACCCGGCCGGGGAACTGCAGCTGGTTCAGCAGGGATGACTCGTGCCCAGGTCTGGGCACCCTGGGCTGCTGTGGAGGAGTAAGTGGTGTTTCAGCCCTCTGGGTGCTGGAGTTGGGCATTTCCCTCTGGGATGATGGATGGAGAGGGGCAGAGACACTTTGCTGCAACGCACTGGCTGGAAGTTTGCAGGCTGCAAGCTCGGGGCACGTAACGGGCAGGGCAGCACTGCCACGGCTGGGGCCAGTGCCAAACAAGAGGGACAGAAGCAGGTTACAGAGCACTTCTGGGGAATGCTGGAGACCCTGGGAAGGAGCAGAGGGAGCCCAAAGCCCAGCGTGTGCCCCGCTCCCTCACCTGAGCACTGAGGTACCTCCAGCAGTGGATCCAGGATGTGAAAGCAGGAGCGTAGGGAGGGAGGCCGGCGCGCAACCTGCGTGGCAACAAGGAACAGCTGAGGGATGTCACGTTATCCAGACAGGTAACACAAGAGCAGCACTGAGTGTAAGTGAGGACACAGAAGCAGTGTCTGCACTGGGCTGGCGGCCAAATGACCAGCTCGTTATTTACAATGCACCAGATCATGTAATTTAATTACCCCTGGAGTGTACAAACAAGGAGCGTTACCTGGATACGTTAAGAGCCCAGGACTGTATCTACAGCTTCGAGAGCCAGAAGATACTGAGAAAACACTCCACCAGCTGCTTGGATCCCTTTCCCATGAGCACAAATGCAGATTTCCTGCAGCAGTGGCACTGGGAAGGCAAGCCTGGTCCTGCTCCTGTCTGCACCCATCACTGCAGTAAGAGCTCTGCTCCCCTCATGCCCCTCCCTGGAGCCAGCAAGGTCCCTTTGATCCCTCTGCCTCCAGCCTAGCTCAGATTGGACTGCACCACCACAACTCTCCCTATTTCTCTCCGCTTGAGCTTTTCTGCTGCTTGTGTCTGTGCCCTCTGATCTAAAATTATAAGCAACCTGGGACAGGAAACGAGCCAGCTCTGCGAGGTGCCACAGAGTTTATGGTTCTGTAGGAAAGCTTTACGGTCGTTAGCAGCAGGTTCAAAACAGGGGGGCTGCAAGGAAGGAAGGGGAAAGCTTTAGATCTCAGTGTGAGGGACATACCCACAGTTGTTCACTGCCATGAGATCTCCCACGAGAAGGAATGGGTACGTCAGCATGCTCACAGCGATCTGAAAGCACAGGAGAACAGCGGCCTCTCTAACGCTCACCACGTCAAGAAAGCTGTTTCCAACTTCTGCATGTTATCCTCATACAGACCAGCCTTTGCCTCCAGGCCACAACCTCTCACCCCCCCGGATGGCAGGAAGAGGGGAAAGGACGTGGCAGTTGCCTACGTACCCCCATCACGAACTTTGTGTAGCTCCGGATCACTGATGCCTGGCTGAACTGCAAAGAGAAACCACAGGGGCTGTGGGGGAGGGGGATGGCACCAGGCTGTCACAGGCACTGTGTGACATCCCCCTGTGCCTGAGGCAGAGGGCATGGGGCAGAGGAACGAGGCAGAAAGCAACAGAGATCGTGCTGCACCCCAGCTGAGAATCTGGGAAGGCATTTGCTGTCAAATCTGATCCCCTAAAACTGCAGGTGAAGCACAGCCCTGAGCAGACACAGCACCTTCAGCCCTCTCACAGGGATGGACCCAAAGCCAGGTATCTCTATTAAATCAGCCCCTGCTTCTCAGTAACTCCTTCCAACTGCAGGTGCCTGGTCCAGACCCCAAACCCTCCACTGGGCGCTTCCACTCACGTTATCGTCCACCGCGTAGGTGTTGATGAAGTGAGCCACGAGGTTGCAGCACCAGAGGAAGATGACATCCCCCAGGATGTGAGGGACTAAACCACTGCAACAGCAAAAGGAGGGGTGTGAGGTGCAGCAGGGTCCCAGTGCCACCTTCCGAGGTGCCCAGCCCTCCTTCCCTTCAGCAGCACGCAGGAAATCCACTCCCCCAAAATGCGTCTTTACTTAGGAAGGAATTGAAAGGGAGAAGGGGAGATTTCAGGGAAGAGATCTCCCAGCCTTCACTCAGCTCTGGAGTGAGAAGTTTTTGGGATCTGTTGTTTGGGCATGACTCAACTCCCCTTGTTCTATCCCAAAATCCCTCAGCCCAGCTCCTGCTCAGAAACCCAAGCGAGACACAGATGAAGTGGTTTCCATTTTTGCAGATGTTCTTTTGGATGCAGGATGAGAAGTTCATCTCTTCGAGCAATCTCCCTTCTTTCAGAAATCAAAATGAGGGGGGTTGTTCCTGCACAACCTGCTCCACTGAAAAATGGGATTAACTGGGGGCAGCACTTGTGTCCCTCTGATTTTTCCCAGTCCCTGTTGCTCCCAGGAGCACAGTTCTTTGGTTTATGCCTCCCACCAACACATCGGAGCTCCCAGCAGTGCCAGCACCCCCAACTTCTGCAGATAATGGCACTAAAAAACATTAACAAAACGTTCCAAAGGGTTTCTCCAGTTTGTTGGTGCTTTGGCAGCATCTGCTGCACCAGTGCAGCCATTAAGCACAGGGTTTCCTGCTTTTGCAGGGCTTGTCCCACCACTAAAGGATCCAGGAGTGTGTTAAGCTTGTGTTTCACCAGCAGATGTGGTCAGTGCTTCTGAAAATGAGCCTGTTGAGAGCCACATGAGCATTTCCTGGGCTGGAAAGACCCACCTCCAAGCACTGATTTATTCATTTCTTCCCAAACACGACGCTGCCTCTTGGAGCAGGGGACCAGTTCTGTTTCCTGCTGCAGCAGCAGAGCAGCAATTGGGACTCTAATCCAGCGTGCTGTGCTGGCACATTTTGGAGACAACCTGTGTATTTTCAAGGCCCTGGCAGCTCTGGGGATGCAGCTGAGGTCTCAGGGGCCAAGCACAGCAGAAATCTTCAGCAGAAGACCCGCTGGCTTAAAAGATGTGAGACATGAGAGCAGCAGACAGGACAAAGAAATCAAAGCTCTCTGGTTCCCAAAGAGATGGTCTGCTTTGTGTTTGGCTTTCAGCCTTTGTAAAAAAACATCCTTTCTCTAACTCAAAGTCAAGTCTGAAGCCCCTGAGCTGCTGCAGATACGATGAGGGTTTAATAAAGTCCAGAAAGAGAAAGTTGGGCCAGGGGAGCCACATAAGGAAAACCTCACCCATGTGTTGATAGAGAATTGGATCGTTTGGTCCATTTGCAACAAGGATCTCATTTTCTCCCCTCCACAATAATGACAGATGCTGGCCCTGAGCTTATGGGATGCTGGAGACCAGGGACAGAGCTGCAGAAAGGGACTAAACAAAGCCAACAAGCCCAAGGCATCAGGGCTGAACACCCCTCCTGAAACTTCAGAGCTGCCTTTACTGTTATTGCCATAATGAAGTGAGTAGTACAATCCTCACACCTGGTGAGATGTCCAACATCTGGACTAGGAATACTTTTGGAAGATGATGAAAAGGTGGAACAGCAACAGGCAGATGAGGAAGCCTGAATGATGTACAGGGAGCCAGGGGGAAGAAACCCCAGTGCAGAGGACAAGCCACCTTTGAGCTGACCATGCACAGCAGTTTCAGAGCTCAGGGGACATCTTTGTGGCCTGGCAGGAGCCTGCTGCAGATAGGAGGGGAAGGGAGATAAAGACTTTTTGGGGATGGACTTAACTCTAGCCAGGCACTCCTTCAGACAGTGTGTGCTGCTATTATTGCCGTGTAGGGGTTATAAGACCACAAAAAACAAGTGCACTGTGATGGTTTTAAGGGAGTGGATGTGCTGGGATTGCACCAGGAGGGCTGAGAGGAGAAACCCAGCAGTTTGGTCCTTCAGATGCAGTTTGTGTTCCCCTCAGAGCAGTGGGATTTCCTAAGAGGGTTATGGAGCATGTAGAGCTTCAGAGCCCTCCTGAGACAATTTGGGTTGTGTTAAAGCCTTTCCTGTGAACTATTAAGTTTAATTAGGCGACCAGGAGTGTTTATTTTATGTGGATGGAAGGGAATGTGGCGGCTGCTTTCGTATCAGTTCCTTGGGAGGTGGAGGGTTGTGAGCAGCCTGCTCCATCCAAACCCCACACTCAGGGACTATCCCAGAGGAACCTGGATTTAAAGGAGATGTGGAGCTGCACAGCTCAGCTGAGAAGATGCAGTGACACTCCACTGATGGAGGCTCTGCAGACCCCCGGCCCTTTCCTCACGAGACCCCTGTGATTGCTTCCCTCTTCCTGATGCATTCAGGTTGCATTTGGAGGCCCATGTTTTGTCATTGCAGAGCCAAAGACATCCTGAAAACCCCTCCTGACATTTCAGAGCTGCCTTTAGTATTATTGACATCATAAGGTGAGTTATCTCCCCGCCACAAGCAGAGACAGCAGGTGGCTCTTCTTTCGTGTAGACGTGAAAAAGAAAGGCAGGAAGCATTAATTAAGGGTTCAAGCAAAAAGCTGTCCCCTGAACTTCCATTTCAGTGATGCCACCAATTTGCCCTGCTCCTGGAAGCAGCTGGAAGCATCTTTCAGCTCCTGCTGGTTTCCAGGCAGGAACACTGCTGAGCCAAGCATTGTTTCTCCCACCACACAGGTAAACCTGCTGCCACCAGCTCATTACAAGCACCCACTGTGCCCTGCAGAGCAATGTGCTGCTTATCCAAGGCCCTGGCTTTCATTTCAACAAGGGATCTTATTGTTGCACTTGATCTTGGTGCCTGTTGCACAAACAAATGCTTTAGATGGTTCACTGAAACACAAAGCAGCGTTAAGGGAAAAAGAAAGATAAGAAAAAATACAGGGTTTCCTCTGGTTTCTGAAGGTTTGATTGAAGATAAGATCTGGGGCAAACTTAATGGTCAAACTGGAGCACTGTCAAAGGCGCAGATTTAATCTGTGCTCAGGGGGGTGATGTGAGAGCCTCTTGGTCAGACAAGGTTTCAGCTCAGTGTGGCTCTGGCTGAGCTTGGCAGAGCAACCAGGAGAGCCATCGGTGCCTCTGGACTGTGGGAGAAAATATTTAAACAACTCACGTACACAAAGAATCCCAGGATCCCTTCTTCCTTAAATATCCTGCCAATGGCACTGAACACACCACTGCCAAGAAAGGAGAAGAGCTGTGAGCGTGCAGGGGTTGTTCCATCCCTGCCCTGTGCAGCTTCACGTGCAGCCCCCAGCCATGGCAGCGTCTCCCCAGCCATCATTCCAGCAGAAGGCAGCTTGTTCTCCTCAAACCAGCGAGGTTTGAGGGAGGGAAGGTTGTGTCTGCACTCTCCCAGAGTCAAGTGTTCTGACACCCAGAACAACACTCACCCTGCAGGCAACTGTTTAATGCTGAAGGGACAAGAGCTCTGAGTGAGTGTGAGTGGACACAAGGGCCACAACCACAGCACATAATATGGTTTGATTAGGCTGATTCTCAGCCCAAGGGCCTTGTCCTGCCTTTGGGAACTCACACTGGCTGTCGTGGGTTAGCTGCAATCCTGTCTAGCACATTTCCACGTGGCTGCAGAGGGGCAGGTATTGCTGGAAAAGACTTGGAAAAATCCTGCAATGCTTCGTGTTATCTACTCTGCCTCCCTGCTGCCTTCCCTCTCCATTAACACCTAAAGCAAAAAGGCAGGAGAATCGATGTGTGGTCAGCAAGGTGTGTTACAGCCCCCAAACCCCACAGGCACAAGGTGGAACAGAGGTGGGACAGACCCCAACCTTCCCATGCCCCCTCACCCTGCAGTCACCCACCCTCTAACCACAGCTCAGATTCATTTTTTTGCTCTCCCAAACCTCCTGGGTTGCTGTATTTCTCATGTCATGGGAGCACCTGACCCCCAGACCCTCCAGAGGTGCAGCCACTCACCTGTATTTGACTTCCCTGCCCACGAACTGGACCATGCAGCGCATGGAGATCACTGGGAGGAAAGAAACACAGGGCTGGTAAGGAAACAAATCCACTTTGGATTGCAATGGCTGTGAAGGAAAATTCAGCCTGATCCTCCTGCTCTGCCTTCCCTCAACTCACAGCACGTCCAGCTCCTCTCAGTGCTCATCACAGCAAGACTCACTAGAAACGGGTGCCTTTCCTGAGCCTGTAAAGGGTGGGAAGGATTTTGTAGCATCACGGAGAGGTTTGGGCTAGAGGGGACCCCAGGGGCAGGGACACCTTCCACTAGCCCAGGTTGCTCCAAGCCCTGTCCAACCTGGCCTTGGACACTTGCAGGGATGGGGCAGCCACAGCTTCTCTGGGCAACCTGTGCCAGGGCCTCCCCACCCTCACAGGGAAGAATTTCTTTCCAATATTCCATCTAACCCTGCCCTCTGGCAGTTTGAAGCCATTCCTCCTTGTTTTGTCACTCCAGGCCCTTGTAAAAATGTCTCTCCCCAGCTCTCTTGGAGCCCCTTTAGGTACCAGAAGGCTGCTACTGGCCCTAACCCCAGTGGGATCTCTGGGAAAAGCTCTTGGATGAACGGGAAGAGAGCAGCTCATCGCTGGGCTGGGTTAGTCCCCGATGCCAACCCAGGCATCAGCCTTGTATGACAGAGGAGTGTGAGTGAAGAGGGTTTTGGGGTGATGCTCAGCCTGGAGGGGGCTGCCAGGAGGAGGGACAGGACTCACCGTGCAGCGGATGTGAGACAACCCTGGACACACACTGCATCATCATCTCGTGGGATGTCTGGGGAGAACAAACACTCCTGTAAGAAAAGCTGTGCTGTTCCACCTGCACAGATCAGGCCCCTTCCCTTAGTGTGGGGAAACCCATTTTGGGTCTCTCTTGAAATCTGTTCTTTGTGGCAAACCTCTATGAAGTATTTCATGGCTGGACACAGAACGGCTGCTGAACACCAGGGACTTCTCACCCTGAGTTTCTCTCCAAGAAATCTCACCCACAGACAATGGTTTAACCTTCCTTCGCTCTCCACATCCCCAGTGGGATCTCCCCATCACTCATTAACGTGCAGTATCCACTTCTCACCTCTCTGACCACTTTCCTAAGGGAAGTTTTCACATCATCCTTGTTAGACACGTGCTCCATGTCTTCCAGAGGAAAAGCCTGAGTGGAGAGGGAAGAAACATGGTCAAAGCTGATGAAGATGCTGCCCCACAAACCCTCAACATCTGAGGACAGGGGGAAACCACAAACAGTTGTGTTTTAGATGTGAGAAGACAAAAAAGCAAGGAACACAGCAGAAGGATGGAAAGTAAAACAGGAGAGGGGTCATGAAACTGCTGACAAGAGCTAAAACGCAAGGGAATGTTCATATTAAATTAAAATTATTTTAAAATAAAAAAGTTCTGCGGATATGGGTGCTGGAGGATTATTCCAAGCCCTTAGGACATGGAGAGGGATGGGTACACTGGTCCTCTACATGCAATCCTGGCTGGCTGCAGGCACTTGCAGGCTCCCAGCTGTGCTGCAGTAGCACTGACTGACCCAGCAAAGTGATTAATGGAGAGAGAATCCGACCCTTACCTTCTTCACACTCCCCCTGGTGATGGTTGATAAAGTGCTTGAGATGAGGCGAGGAGTCAGACCACGGAAGAGGCCTCTTTTCCCATCCACTTCCACGATATGTCTGGCTGGGTGAGCAAACACCAGGCTGCTGTCAGTCAGGAAGGGGTCAGCTCACGGAGAGACACCCCAAACACCTCCAGTACTCAGCCAAAACCACACCAGTCCCACCATAAGTGATTTATTAATGGAACAGTTCCAAATAAGCTTCCTGCAGGATGCCAAGAATCCCTATTCCCTGCCATCTGTCTAATCTGGAAGGAAAGCTCCCAGTATTCTGGGCTCCTTCTCATCTTTTGATGGTTTTGCTCACCTGAAGGGGCTACAGGGCAAGTTTGGACTGAACCAGGGTCGGGAGGGATCACCCCATGTGGTGTCACCGGGGATCATCCCACGTGCTGTGTGGTGTCACCTTCTCCCTCCACCCCAAGGGGTCAGACTCAGGGTTAATATGGGTCTCACCAAACACATGTGCTGGTGGGTACTGACTGTTCCTGCTCTCCTATCTGGTGCTTTCAGGAGGGCTCTGCCCCCCCTCCATCACCCAACACTGCCCATCTGTTCGGAAAATGCATCTTCCAAAGAGCAGCACCAGATTGTTTCCAGCCCTGCCTGTCTCAGGATGGGTTTCCAGTGCTCTTGCATTGCTCCTGTGCTGGCTCCCAACCCGTGGGTGCTGCTGAGAGATTTTGGGATTGGCCCAACTCAGCTTTCGGGACTGTGCATTCCCCTTCCCCGCAGCACAACCGCTGTGACAGCAGGTCACAAAATATTCACCCGCCTCTCCCAAAGAGAGCAAAACACTTCTCTGAACATATCACATTCCCTTTTCTTGGTCCTTCTGTCCCCTTAGGGCTCCACCTACAACACCAGTGAGCAGGGCAGTGGGGGCAGGTTATTTCAGGGCTGTTTTGGAGCAGTGTTGGCAGGAGGGGACCTTCACTCACCGTAGGTGAAGAAGCCAGGCAGGTACAGGACTTTCCTCCCCAGCACGTTTCTTCCAACAGTTGGAGGTAGTGGCTCCTGCCCAACCTGTGAGAGAAACCCCGTGAGCAAGTCCCTGTCCTGGTGTTCCCAAAGCCTCGATCCAGCATCCATGAGCTGCCAAAGGGCCACATTGCCCCTGTCACCCTCAGATGCATGGGGATGCCACGACACAGGCACGCCCTTTCCCATTATATGGGGTCCCAGGGGTACAGGGGGCCTCACTCCCCCATTTCAGGGGGTTCTTATTACAGAGAGGTTCTCAGGATACCCATTATAAAGGGTTTCCCATCCCTCCTTGTATGGGAGTCCCCACTGCAGAGGGGATCCTCATTCCCCTCCATTTTATAGGGGTCCCCACTGTGCAAGGTGTCCCCATCCCCTGCCATGCCCCCACTATAAAGGAGCCCCCACTATATTGGGGCTCATCCTCCTATTATACAAGCCCTCCATTTTTATACAGAGACCCCCATTAAACACAGGGACCCCATCCCATTACATATGGGGGTCCTCCATTCTACAGGTACCCCCTACTCTATAGGTGCCCCCATTGCACAGGGGGGCCTGCTATAACATGGGGAGCTGTATATAGTGATCCCCATCCCAAGAAGGTCTCTATAAGCACACTATACAGAAGCCCACCTCCCCCCATTACAGTGAGGTCCTGATCCCTCTTTATATCCCATTATATCCCATTACCATTCTATGGGTGCCCCCCATTCCATAGGTGCACAGGGGGGTCCTGTTATCACTGTATATACCAATCTCCATCCCATGGAGGTCCCCACAGGGGCACCCTCCATCAGCCCACCGCCCCCTGTTGTAGTGGGGTCCTGATCCCCCACTATACCCCATTATATCCCATTACCATTCTATGGGTGCCCCCCATTCCATAGGTGCACAGGAGGTCCTGTTACCATTGTATATACTGCTTTCCATCCCATGGAGGTTCCCACAGAGGCACCCTCCATCAGCCCACCGCCCCCTGTTGTAGTGGGGTCCTGATCCCCCACTATACCCCATTACATCCCATTATATCCCATTACCATTCCCTAGGTGCCCCCCACCCGACAGAGGGTCCTGTTATAACAAGGGGGGGGGGGCTGTCCACACTGATCCCCACCCCACGGCGCTCTCCACAGCCGCCCACCTCCCCCTCACGCCGTGTGTGTGGGGGTCTCACCCGTGTCCCATCCCGCCGCTTCCCCCCCCTCCCCTCCCCTCTCCCCGATCCCCCAAAGCCGGACCTGCACGAGCAGCTTGACGTAGAGCAGGGGGTGGCTGGCGGCGGCCATGCCCGCGCCCAGCAGCACGAAGAGCCCCTCGGCGCCCTCGGCGGGGGCCGCGTCCCCAGCGGGGCCGGGCGGCGACAGCGGCCCAGGGGGCAGCGCCGCCACCGCCGCCATGGCCCCCGCGTCACCGCCCGCCGCCACCACCGCCCGGCCGCGGGGGGAGCGCGGCAGCAACCACTGCGGGGTGCGCGGGGGAGAGAGAGCGGGAGAGAGAGGCGTGAGGGGGAAAAGGGATGGAGGAACCATGAGGGGGAATGTGCGGGTGGATGGAGGGATGGAGTGAGCTGGGACACCGCGGTGAGGGGCTGGGGTTTGGGTGGAGGGGTGGGGAAAGGAGAGGGGGGTTAAAAGAGGGGGGGGGAGAATGAAGGGGAGGAAAGGAAGGGGGAGTGAAGGAGGGAACAAACGAGGGAAGGAGGGAACAAACGAGGAAGGAAAGGAGGGAACAAACGAGGATGGAAAGGAGGAAACAAACGAGGATGGAAAGGAGGAAACAAACGAGAAAGGAAAGGAGGGAACAAACAAGAAAGGAAAGGAGGGAACAAACAAGGTAAAGAAACAAACAAGGTAAAGAGGAAACAAACGAGGATGGAAAGGAGGGAACAAAGTAAAGAGGAAACAAACAAGGTAAAGAGCAAACAGGAACGAAAGGAGGGAACAAACAAGGAGGAAACAAACAAGGTAAAGAGCAAACAAATGAGGAAGGAAAGGAGGGAACAAATGAGGAAGGAAAGGAGGAAACAAACAAGGTAAAAAGGAAACAAACAAGGAAGGAAAGAAAGAGGGCAAGGCAAGGCGAAAGGAATGGAAAGGCAAGGCGAAAGGAATAGAAAGGAAAGGGGAAAGGAATGGAAAGGTAAGGGGAGAGGAATGGAAAGGCAATGGGAAAGGAGAAAGGAATGGAAAGGAGAAAAGAAAGGAAAGGAGAAAGGAAAACCTGCAGTTGCACTGTGCTATGTTGTGCTTTTCTCTGGGAACTACAAGCAGAAAAGTGCTGTCCTCCCTCCACATGGACCTTTCTCCAGCCACATCTTGTTCTTCTTCATGGTGTGTTATTACCAACAACACTTGGTTATTGCCAACAGCCCTTGTCTGTTATTTCCAGCAATCCTTGGTTGGCCCCAGAGCCATCCACCCGTTGATGTTTGACACACACACATCAGCCCCTTATACCCCTCTGGGTATCAGGACTGTTCATATCCCACCCTGAACTCCCTCCTCATGGGACACATCCCACCCCATCATGGGGGGATCCAGCACTAGGTTGTACAGCAGCTCAGACCTCCTGCCCAGCTGGTGCTCTTGCACCATTCCTGCCTTTGCCTTGTTTGTGCCACCTCCCCAAACTGAACCAATTCCCAGTGTTTTCTCAGCGTTTCTCCTACTCACGACCTGCTGCACTTCCCCTTTCCTTTTCCTTTCGAGGCCAAGCCAGAGACAGGCTCTCCTGCCACAGGGAGGGCAGCGGGTGGGCTTTGCCTCGTGCAAATCCTCTTCCCCAAACCACAGCCTGGGGCCCAGAAACCCCTCAGAGCAGAGAGGGGGGCAGAAGGAGGGAGCTGCAGCCATCAGCTCCCACTCCTGCAGCTCCTGCACATCCAGGACCTGCTCCCAGGAGGTGCCATGGAGGGAGAGGAGGATCATCAGCAGAGCGTGGTGAAGCTGGTGGCTGTGTTTGAAGAGCACTGGTAAGGAGGGAGGGTTCTGGGTGCTGAGGGTGTGTGTGGGGGCTCCACGTGGAGTGGGTTTTGGGAGGAAGAAACCCTCCGTGGAGGCGGTTTGGAGGCTGTGGAGAAGCTGACAAGGTGATTTGTTATTCTTTATCACTCTGTCTTCCTCCCGCTGTGGGTCACGAACAGAAGCCTGAAAACCTCAGTGGGATGTGAGTGACTCTGCCTGGCTCAGGCTGTGGCAGCCCTTTCTCCCCACGCTCAGTACTGGCTGGTGAATCCTTTTGCTGCTGGGAAAAGAACTGTGGTTTGCAAATATGTGGGCAGGGGTCTTCTTCCTCTGGGAATTAACTGCCTGGGTGTCTGGGAGCATCCCAGCCTCAGGCTGTGCAGTTGTTTGCAGAGATGTGGCTCCTGGGAAAGGGAAGGCAAAGCATTGTGTTCAGGGGGAGAGTGAGTGCCTTTTATAAAACAGCTCCTTCACTTGTGAGTGTGAGCTGGGACACTCAGACAGTGTTGTGCCAGGGTTGGAATGAAGGGATCTGCCCTGACTCTGGTGTAAAAGGAATACTGAGGTGTAGGGTGAGTTATTTTTGAGGTTTGTGCCTCAGTTTCTCCATCTGTTGAATCAGGATACAGAATCCTGCCTGGTACCCATGAGGTGCTCTCAGTGAGCATTAATGGGGCTGGGTGGTTGGGCAGGTGAGTTTTACAGCAATTCCTAAAGTTGCTCAGGCACAAGATTTCCATTTACTCCAAGAACTTTGCCTGCATCTCCACTGGGTGCTTTTCCTGGGATTTGTGGTTGTCCCCATCATCCCACAGTGATGGTGTGTTGGAACTGCTGCAGGGTCTGATCTGCCTCCACATCACTGCTGCAGAGTGTTGGTTGTTTATCGTGGAGTCTGAGTTTGATTTAGAGGAAATAAAAGTAACTTTGGACTTTCGGAGGAAGTTGGGGAACCTGGGAATGAGTTTTCTGGAACAGAAAATGGTTTGGCCCAAGTCAGCACAAACAGAAAGAGAGAAGTTCCCTGTTGGAGCTCTGCAGTGGGTTTGGGCTGACACAGGTCTGGGAGGCACTGGGAGAGATGGATAAAACCTCATTGTCTCTGAAGGGTTCTGCCCGTCCCCTTGGACAGGAGGGGATCTGTGCATGGCTGTGGATGCACTCCTGAGCTCACAGACCTGTGCTTGGGAGGGACCCAACATCCTCTTCAGATGAATCTCTACCACTCAAGTCATCTCCTGTCCTCAGCTTTGCAATTCTGTGTCCAATTTCACACAGCTTTTTCCCTCCTCATCCCACTCCAGTCTGCAGACCCACAGTGGATATCTTTCTAGTTTATGTCCAGAGCATTTTCCTACAGGGACCAGCTCTCAGATGACAGACAACTCACTGTCACCTTCACAGCCTGGCTTCTCCCCTGTGCCTGCTCTGGACCTGTTTTCCTTCTCTTTGCCAGAAAAGGGAAGAGAAAACACCACCAAAAAACAACCTGTCTGCAAAACCACCTACACAAGCCGTGCTCTTGGCTCAAAACTCTTGGCTATTGGGCTTCTCCCCACTTTGGCTCTGCAGTGCCAGAGCTGTACCTGGGAAATAATTAGATATGCCTGGGATCAACAGCAGAATCCTGCTTTTCTAGAGCAGGACAGGGATGGCCACAGCAGCAGGAGGCACTGGGAGAAGAGAGGCCCCGTGAGGGTTGGTGGGAATGTTTGTACTGCAGGGCTGGAGCAGAGCAGAGCAGTGTCAGCCCTGGGGAGCTGCTGCTCTTGTCACCTTCGCTCCAGGACCGTGGCTTTGAGCTGGGCCTGGGAGCTCGATGAGAGAAGGGCTGAGCTGATCACGCTGATTCCTCCGTAGCAGGGACAGCAAATTTGCCTGGAGGGAGAAGCAGGCTCTGCACAGCCAGACCACTGCTGCAGCCAAGCAGCCCCAGCAGCTTCCAGCATCTCCTGCCTGCCAGAGCCTCTTCCCGAGGGCTGCAGGGCTCCAAGGGGAGCAGGAGCAGGAGGAGGACGAGGAGCAGCGAGGTCAGCGTGGACTCAGCTTCAAGTGCCTCCGTTCCTTGCGACACAAAATCCGTGAGGACAACTGGAGGAGGCCCCAGGGCCCAGGGCTGGAGCCTGGCAGGGAGGTGAGCTCTGGGGGTGGCTCAGGGCAGCCTGGTGGGTGCCCACGCTCAGGGCATGGAGCTGCCTGAGCTGGCTCAGGACTTGGGGGTCACATCTCCTTCCACTCCACACAGGAACCAGAGGAAAAGAAAATCGCTCTGGAGCTGCTGGAGACAGAGCAGGCTTATGTCAACCGCCTCCACCTCCTCGACCAGGTGAGCTGGGCAGTGGAGGGGCCCACACAAGGAGATTTTTTGGTGTACAGCAGAGAGACACGTGGGCTGCTGGTCTTCTTGGCCAGGGATTTGGTCTGGCCTTTGCCTTTCCTACGTTTCCACGGAGCTCCCTTGTCCCATCAAAGCCTTCCCTCTGCTTCTCTCTTGAGGCCTGGGAGATTTCCCCCCTGCACAGAGTCATTCCTTTCACTGAGCCACAGTCTCAGAGAAGGAATGAGACCTTCAGGCCTCTTCCTGACCCTTTTTATTCACCCCTTCTTTCTTCCAGGTGTTCTATGCAGAGCTGATGAAAGAAGCCAAAACTGGGAAGACGGTCCCAGAGGAGGTGGTGAAAATGATCTTCTCCAACATCTCCTCCATCTACCAGTTCCACTCCGAGTTCTTCCTGCCAGAGCTGCGGAAGCGCATGGAGGACTGGTGAGCTCAGGAGGACTCCTGGAGCATTGCTGAGTTTTTGGCTCCCACCAGGACCAGAGCTCAGCCTGCTTTGCTCCAAATGTCTCTGTGCTGGAAAGCACTTCCTTAAAACGCTCAGATCAGAGTATTTCTGAAAAGTGGGGGTGACATCTCAGGTGGTTTTGGGATGTGCCCAGGTGTGAACAGCCCAGACTGGCTGCAAGCTGAGGACATTCTCGTTCTGCAGAGTAGGAAGCTGTGTGGGGATGTAGCAGTTTGCAGCAGTACAAATGTTAGTAGAAGAGTTAGGAACAGGCACAGGTTGCCCAGAGAAGCTGTGGCTGGCCCAGCCCTGGAAGTGTCCAAGGCCAGGTTGAACAGGGCTTGGAGCAACCTGGGCTGGTGGAAGCTGTCCCTGCCCATGGCAGAGGATGGAATGGGATGAGCTTTAAGGTCCTTTTCAACCCAAACCACTCTGGGATTCAATGAAGCCACCACGCCCCTTCATTTGATCCCTCACTGTCTGTGTCCCCCCATGGACTGAGGAAGCTGCGGTTCCCTCCTGCAGGAACTGCAACCCCCGGATTGGGGATGTGATCCAGAAACTGGCACCGTTCCTCAAGATGTATGGAGAGTACGTGAAGAACTTCGACAAGGCCGTGGAGCTCATCACTGCCTGGTCAGAGAAATCCCCTCCCTTCCAGGAGCTCATTGCTGACATCCAGGTAAAGGGCAGGGCGAGGGACCACAGTAGTGCTCCCCAAAATCTCCTTGCACTGGGGGAGCAGCAGAGGGTGGGAGCTGCCTTGGTCACCGTTCCTCTCTCCGTGCCTGGTGTCTCTCCCCAGAAGAGGAAGGTCTGTGCTAATCTAACGCTGCAGCACCACATGCTGGAGCCCGTGCAGAGGATCCCGCGCTACGAGCTCCTCCTGAAGGATTATGTGCGCAAACTGCCGCCTGAGTCGCCCGACCGGGGCGATGCCCAGAGTAAGGGCTCTGTCTGGCTCCCCCTGGGGAGTGGCAGGGGGGGTTTGTAGGGGAAATGACCATCCCAGTGTTGTGCACAGGCATCAGAGTACCTGGATTCACTCAGCAGCTGCCCTGAGCCCTTGGATAAAACCCCTCAGTCTGATCCTTTTCTGGCAGGGAGAGGGATTAATCTGCCCTTCCAGGGGGCTGTGGAGGTCAGTGAGGAAGGGTGGTCCCTCCAGAGCATCCCCTAGGGAGACCTGTGGAGCTCTCAGACCCTTGTAGATAACACAGTTCCTGGTCCTGCTGGGGTGGAGGGATGCAGGAGCTGGCTGGCTGTCCTCCCAGGACCCCACCATGCACAGTCTGGCCATACCCCCAGACTCTTGTGCAGCATTTTGGGGCCATTTGGGTTGGGTCCAGGGGAAGGCATCAGCCACCACACGTGTACATCCATGAGGGATGGGCAAGGAGCTTCTTCCCACAGCTCCAGAGTAGGTGTTTAACCTCCAGCCTGTCCCTTCTCATTGCAGAGGCCCTGGAGATGATCTTTATGGTGGCCAAGCACTCCAACGCAGCCATTGCCGAGATGGTGAGTGCCTGTCCCAGCTGGAAGTGCTTTGCAGCTCCTGAATGGGACAGGAGCACTGTGGGTTCAGCACAGGAGCTGAGACCTGCTCTCAGTGCCTGACCCCATCACCCTGAGCCTGGGCAGTCATGTCTGTAACATCAGTGATGTGACCAGCTGCTCAAGGCTGGGAGCTGCTCCCAAAGATGAATCTGGGCTGAGAGAGCGGTGCCACCTCTCCCAGTTATCAGCAGCTGGCCTGGGAGGTGGGGATGGGGGGAACCCAGGGGTGGCAAGGTTGTGGCTGCTCATCACCCCACAAAAACAGGTCCCTCTGCCTCCCCCAGGAACGGCTGCAGAACCTCTGGGGGGTCTATCAGCGGCTGGGCCTGGAGGATGACATTGTGGATCCCTCCAACCAGCTGATCAAGGAGGGACCCATCCAAAAAGTCTCCACCCGCAACAACAGCACGTCGGAGAAGTACCTGTTCCTGGTGGGAGCTGGGATGCCCAGGGGAAGGAGCAGATAAGCTGGGAGTGGGGACAGGGGTGGCACAGCCTGGCCTGGGAGTTGCTGGGTCATCTCAGCACAGAAGGGGTGAATCCAGAGGTGGGGGATTTGACCCTGCTCAATGCAGGGCACCCTGTGTAGGATGTGGTTGGGAATGTGCTGCTCCCGTGGGCATGGCAGACCTGGGAGGTGCCTCTCTCACCTTTGTAGGGTGGGAGAGGGCGGGGGCAGAAACAGTCACGCTTTAGGTGGGATCCTTCCTGAGGACCAGCTGAGGCTTGGGGAATCTGACACCCCAGATCCCAGGGAAGCCCCCAGCTGGGAGCAGGCAGCTGTGGGCTCCAACCCACCCTCTCCCCCCTCCCAGTTCAACAACATGCTGCTGTACTGCGTGCCCAAGGTCATCCAGGTGGGCGCTGAGTTCCAGGTCCGCCTCCGCATGGACGTGGATGGCATGAAGGTCAGACAGGCACCTTGTCTTTGTGCTTCCCCCAGGCCCTGACTCCTCCTAAAGCACCACAATTTGGGGTGTAACATGGCTGCCCCTCACTTCCTCGGGAAGGAGGGAGGAGATGGAGCCAGGGGTGGCTTTGTGGGTGAGGTTGGTGCGCTCTGATCCGGTGAAATGCCAGTGAAATCTTGTGCATGTGGGATCTGAGGGGCTGGAGGGCTTGTGCCCTCCCATGTGTGTGCTGGAGGTGGGTTCAGCTCCACATGCCTTCTCTGGTGTCTGGCAGGTGTGGGAGCTGAAGGACACAGAGTTCCCTCACACCTTCCTGGTCTCGGGAAAGCAGCGGACGCTGCAGCTGCAGGCCAGGTAAGGGGAATGGGGGACGTCATGCAGACCCTCAGGGAGCAGGGACAACAGCTTATCCATGTCCCTTTTTGTGCCCAGGTCTGGAGAGGAGCTGGACGCCTGGATCAAGGTACCACTGAGTGCTGGGAGAGGTGGCACATCTCCCTCATCCCAGCTGGACGCCCTGTGTCAGGGCAGCCCCCAGCTGCACCTCCAGCCCTGCCCTCCCCTCTAGGCCTTCCAAGATGCCATTGGCAGGAAGGAGAAGAGGAGTGAGACCTTTAAGGCAGCAGTACAGGGACTGGAGACAGACACCCCTGCACTGAAGGTAACCCCCCTGCTCTCCCCATGCCCACCTTGCTGTGCCTCAGTTCCCCTCGCTAAACCGAGCTGGGGGGAGGCTGCGGATGGGGAGAAGGAGGAAGGAAAGGGCGAGGAGGGGAAGGGGTGAGAGCAGAGGGCTGGGACCACCCAGAGCAGGGCTGGCCAGCCCCAGTGACGCAGCCCCCCACCCCCAGACGGAGGAGCTGGGCCGCCGAGCTCCGCAGTGGGTGCGGGACAACCTGGTGACCATGTGCATGCGCTGCAGGGAGCCCTTCAACGCCATCACACGCCGGAGACACCACTGCCGAGCCTGTGGATATGTGAGCCACCCTCCCCTCCCTCCCCTCCCTCCTGGCCTGCTCAGGTGGCTGCTGGGGCAGGAGCACACCTCTCCTACATCCCATATCCCTTTTGTCCCCCGCCAGACTCAGGGTTTTTCCTGCCCCTCAGCTCCTGGTGGAGCTGTCCCTGGATCCCCCGGTCTCAGCAGTGTCCCTGTCTGTGGCTGCAGGTGGTGTGTGCTCGCTGCTCTGACCACAGGGCCGAGCTGCAGTACGATGGGAACCGCCTGAACCGCGTCTGCCAGGAGTGTTACATCTTCCTGACGGGCCACACGGTGCTCGAGGGCCGGGAGGGGAAGCACAAAGGCATCCTGGAGGTGAGCTCTGCCCTCCTCTGTCCCTCTGAGCTCTGCCACACACCCTGGCCCCCAGCATCGCTGTCCCAGCCTGGCCCTGCACCTGCAGCAGGAGGGGTGGGAGTCACTCCCACAGCGGTCAGAGGGTGCGTGTGCTGAGCTCCCCTCCCTCCTGCTCCAAGCCTTGGGACTCCCCAGCATCCAGGGCTCCCTTCACCATGGGATCTCAGCAGCACCCTCACAGCCAGGACAGCCCCTTGCCTGCCCCTGCTTTGGGCGTTTAGTGGAGTGGGAAGGGAACTCCCAAGGAAACAGCCTTGGCTCAGTGCCCTTTCTGCCTCCTGCACTGGGTATTGAGAGATTTATTGGGGTTTTTTTGGCAGAAAGGAGCTGCAGAGGTGTCAAGCAGGAGTTTGCTCTGCAGTTCCCTGCAGCTGCTGGACAAGAACGGCAAGGGGGGGACGCGGGGCTGGTTTGTGATCCCCCAGGATGATCCCCTCGTGCTGTACATCTACGCAGCCCCCCAGGTAAGGCGGGGCTCGGATCCACCCTAGAGGGACATCCCGTGTGCCCACCCCCTGCCTCCCAACACTGTCTGTTCTTGGCAGGACGTGCGAGCCCACACCTCCATCCCCCTGCTGGGCTACGAGGTGAAGGACCTGCCCCAGAGCGACTCCCGCCACCTCTTCCAGCTGGCGCAGTCCGGGCAGGTTTACACCTTCCTGGCCGACACCGAGGAGCTGAAGCGGTGCTGGATGAGGGCCATGGCACGCTCTGCCGCAGGGATCACACCCCCAGAGGAGGAGGAGGAGGATGCAAACCCCTGCGACAAAGCAGAATGAGGCCGTTCCCACCCCTGGGCTGCCTGGGGAGTCACCTCCCCAGCCTGCCCTCGGCTTCATGCAGACCCCTGACATCTCTGCAGTTTGCGTTTTCATCATGAAAAGGACAAGCTGGAGGGGTACATTTGCCACCGCACAGATTCCCCTTCCCCTCCGTCCTTGCTCTCCGCGCTGGACGGAGATGAGGTGGAAGGAGATGGGGGTGGATTTTGGGGCGGCCTCGCCCCTGCAGCCCTCCCCGGCCGCCGTGCAGTACCGCCGGTGGCCACGCGAGGGCAGCACCGCCCCGTCCTTGCTCCATCCCCGCTCCGGGGATGCCCGGAGTCCTGAAATCCGTGGAATTGGGATTGCTGAGATAAATCCCGCCCGCGACCCCTCTCTGCGGTCCATGCAGCCTTTTTTGGGGGGTGTATTTCCCATGGGATTGTCCCTGTGGCTCCACATTGCCGTACCTGTCACCAGCCCTGATCTGACGCCCTGCAGGGCCCCGGTTTGTGGCTCACCCGCACAGCTCAGGGACCCCAGGGCTGGGTTCTGGATGTCCCCTCCCAGTTTGTCACCACTCCTGGCCTCACACTGCTGCAGTCTCATGGTGTGGGTGTTCCTCTTTACCACAGACAGCCCTCACCTGCATCACTGAGCCAGTCCACGCTCCTGTCCATCCCAGAATTTCCCTTCACACCTTCCTGTCCACAAGCACTTTCCACCTTTGTACCTCCCTTAGTTACTTGTTTCCTGGGGGAAAACACTCTGGGACAAGGTTGTGTCCACACAGGTTCTGCTGTGATGCTGAGGAGACATGCAGGACCCCCTCTCCTTCATCATCAAAATGAGCACCCCTGGCTGTTTCATGCAGCACTTTAGGCTGCAGCCCCACATTTTTCGCCCTGCATCATCTTTAGCTCCCCAAGAATGTTGCCTGGGCAGAAGTTGCCACTTCTGAGCCTGCCAGGGGGCTGACATGGGATGCAGGAACCCTGTGCATGGAGCTGAGCCTGGACCACACAGCAGCTCCAGCAGAGCCCAAGGGTGCCACAGGCTGAACAGATCCATGGAGGCAGGGAAGGGAAGGGAGCTGGAGCAGGATGCTGCAAATGGGGACATCATTTGGGGAAAGGATGGGGAATAAAGATGGATGGGGGGCTTCAGAGAGACAGGAAAATGCTGTGAGCAAAGTCCTTCTGCCACCTACCCAGCTCAGCTCATCCCGGGGAAGGGCAAACCATGGTGGGTTTATCTCTTCCAGCTCAAGAGATCCCATCAAGGAAGAGGGAGAGGAGCTGGATGTCAGAGCTCTGCCAAAGCAGTTGCCCCTCAGGGTGCCACCCAGCACGGGGCTGAGCCCAGAAGAAGCAAACAAAGCAGGGCCTTCCAGGGACACCCCAAAACAGCCGTCGTGGGAAGGGGAAACCCCAGCACCACCGGAAAAGCCCTGGAAAAGCTGCTGGGGGGGGAAGAGTGAGCAAGGGGAAGCCCACGGGGCAGGAAGGCTCTGCGTGGTGGCCCTTCTGTGTGGCGTCACCCCTTTGTCAGGAACAAAACAAGCCCGGAGCAAGGACCTGCCCTCAGCCCTGAATGGGCCTAAGAATAGATTTCCTGTTTACCCAGGGAGGAATCGCTCCTGGGGCAGAGGGCACCTGCGGGCTATTTTTACCAACTCCTGCCCTCCTCCTTCCTGACCCCCAGCACCCTCAGGACCCGTGTGTGCCACGGGAAAGGGGCTGTCAGGGAAGAGAGGTGGCCTGGGGGCAGAGGGGGTGACAGGGCAGCAGGGCAGGTCACTGCCTTGGCTTTGGCATCGTGCCTTACTCAAAGATGGGGAGACAGCACCACTTGCTGCCCTGAGTATCCCATCTCTCAGTGGACAACCAAATTTACAGGGGGTTGTCATGGTGCCCCCACTCTGCTTTCCTAGAACGAAAAAATAAAAAACCCCAAACAAACAAACAAACAAAAAGAAAACCACACCAAAAAAACACAACTAAACAAACCAAACCAATCAAAACCAAAAAAAAACCCTAAACAAAACGGAAAAAAAAACAAATGAGATTTTTTGCCCCCAAGAAATGCAGAGAACACGCTGATGAAACTGAATTTGCTCTCCCCATCCTTCCTCACAGTCCCCTGCAGTGTGATGGTCAAGCCGAGCAGTTTGGCCTCTCCCCTCCCCCGGCAGAAAGTGAAACCCCGAGCAGAAGTCACGGTTTCCTATTCTCGAGAATGGGGAAGGCTCGGAGGCCACTTACCGGAATCCCCCCCCCCGCTGCCCCCCCAGCGCCTCTTCTCGTAAGCACTGACCAAAATACGCTGTGAAACCCACAGGGGCTGTGCTGGGGGCCGGGACACCCATCACTGACAGCACCCTGCGCAGCTCCTGCTCTGCTCATCGTCCCGTGCTCGTCCCAAACCCCACCCACGCTGTGGGAAGGGGGGTGCAAAGATGTTCGAGGGCACGAGCGAGCAGGGAGGGGGCCATCAGAGATATGGACAAGGAGGGGGGGGTGTGAATTGTGGACCCCCCTGCAGGGCTCTGTAGGGTTCAGTCACCCCCTGCTCCCCAGGAAGGGGCTCACATGGCCTGGAGCCCCTCAGGTGTGGGGTGGGATCAGAACCATATGGGCCTAGGGAATCCTATAGATGTATAGAATTCTACAGAATCTATAGAATCCCACCCCCCCCCAGGCTGCAGGGGTGCTCTGGGAGCTGCTCTGTGGGGTGGGGGCTCTTGATCTATAGGGACAGGCCCTACATGGTGGGCATCCCCTCTCTGTAGGAACTGCTCTCTATTGGGCATATTCTCTTGCTCCCTAATTGCAAGTCCCTCTGCACTCTGTTCTGTGGGATGGGGTTTTATGGTCTTTAGGGGGTCTGCATTTCTGGGGCAGCATCTCTTGCCCTACAACACCTGGGGGTGGGTTGTATGGGATCTGGGCTCCAATAGGGGCCAGCTCCCCCTGACAGGGGCTCTTGCTCTGGAGATGTTGGGCTCCACAAATGTGTTCCCTGTGCCCCCATGAGGCAGCGCATCCCTTGCCACGGGATTTTGGGCAGCACATCCCTTGCCGTGGGAGCGCAGGGCAGCACAGCCCTCGCCGCAGCGCCGCGGCATCGGAGCTGCAGCAGCTCGGCCTCTCTCTCCCCACCGCGCAGCCTCTGCAGCCCACCGGGGCTTCCGCTGCTCCCGCCGAGCGCTTTAAATAATGAATATACCGAGGTCGGAGACAGACACAACACAGCCCTGCCCCGCAGCATCATCCCCGGCCCCGCCGTGCCCGGCCCCGCGGGGGCACGTGGGACTCCCGTGTCCCCTGAGGGTGGGGGCACGCCCTGGGTGGGGGGATTTAGGGTTGGGACATGATGCCAAATGATGCAAAATATCTGTGATTTCTCCCCCCCCCCCTCAAAAAAACCCCCCCACAGCCAGGATTGTGTAATCGTAGGACTGGGGTACCCCCACCCTGCTCTGCTCCCGCTTTCAGGAGCAATTCCCCCTCCCGTGGAGCAATTCCAATCAGGAGGGGGACCCCAGGATCCCCCCAGCCGCACCCCATTTTTGCATTGCACCGGCAGGGACCTCGCTGTCGGGGGTGTCCCCACTCTTTGGGGGAGCTTAGGGAAGGGGGGGGGGCAGCTTCCACCTCCTTTTCGGGAGCCCCCGCGGCTGCCGGCAAAGGGCGGATCGTGCCGCTGGGAAGCAGGTCGTGCATCCCGGCGTCTGGAGAGGCGGGGGGTGTTTCCCGGTGGCGCAGGAATTTGCTGTTTGCGCCTGTGTTGCAGGAGGTTGGGGGAAGGAAGGCGGCGGGGGGAGGAGGGAAGCTGGCAGTTGTTATTATTTAATTTTATTTTCCTGCCTCCATCCAGGAATCTCTGCAATGTGCCGGCTGCTCGCGGGGAGGTTGGGGTGGCCGTGAGTCACTGCTGCCGCTGGAACGTGACTCAGTCCTGCTGCTCTCCCGGCAGGACATGACCAGACTGCCAAAACGCGGGAGAAGCCCCAGAACCAGCGCCTGCCCGCGCCGGTGGGCGAGGACACGAGAAATCCTCCCCGAGAACTCAGCCCCCTGCTTCCCACAGGGAGGGGAGCCCCTCCCCGTAGGGCAGAGCTCAGGCTGGGGAGCAGAATGGGCTCCTTTTTAAAAAAAAAATTATTTATTAGTTTGTTTTATTCTATTTTTCCCCAGCCAGGAAAATCCTCTCCCACCCACTCAGGCTCACCCATCTGTGGGGCGCCGTGGAGCTGTGGGGATCTTCCAGGGATTTTGCTGCCCCACCTTCCAGGCCCTGCAGGTGAGCAGGGAAAGCTCCTGGCACCGTTCCTGCCCCAGTTTCCGTGCCTCAGTTTCCCCATCCGGTGGGGAGTGGAGATTTCCCCATCGGGGAGCAGAACAGGGGTTACTTCAGGTGGTGCTTTGAGGTCAGTGAATAGCAGCTGCAGGGGGTTATTATTAATATTAATTAATAGCTGAGGTGGTGGAGAGGGATGGGGAGGACTGAAGCAGCCCTGAGTCACAGGGCAGGAGCAGGGGATGGCCCAGCCCTGGCCTGAGCCTGAACAGTCTCGCTGCACCCCAGGGCTGGGACAGCCAGGAGTTGAGGCTTCCCCACTCACCTCACCCAGGGATGGATGAGCTCTCCTCATCCTCATGCCCCTCCTCCATGTGGAAATGGGCTCCTGGAGCGGGAGAGCAGCAGAGGCAGCCACGGGGCAGCGCTGAGCACTGGGATGGTTGTGACACCTCAGGCCTCCACGGCCACAGCTGCCTCTGTCAGCTGTGATTGAAAGCCAAGCCAGGCTGGTAGGCCCTCTCTGTGATCTTGTTAATTAAGAAATACATTTAATTAGCAGCACCCCAGCTGTGACTCAGCTAATCACCATGATCGAAACAAGGGCCGGACTCCAGCACAGAACCACCAAACCCCCTCACCTACCCTGAGCCCCTGGCTCTGCTCTGGGACCCCACTGCCCACCAGGCACATCCCAGTGCCCCCCAGGGGTTTTGGGCTGAGTTTTCCCCGGGCTGGAGGCAGGTTGGCCCTGAGACCGTCCCCGTGCAGCACCTCACACACACAGGGTGTCATCCCCACCCAGGGCAATTATCCATTGCCACACTGCGAATAATCATATTAATAACCCATTTACCAGGCTATAAATAGCCTTTGATAATAACACCCTGGGCTTTCCAGGAACGGATCGTCAAAAATGTGGGGAAAGCCATTCCCTGTCGCCTGGGCTGCAGATGGGGAAACTGAGGCAGGGCTGGTTTCGGGCACCACTCTCGCCCGCTGCACTGAGCCGTCTGCCAGGCAGCTGTGGAATTTGCTCCCGAATAAACCCTCATGTAAATGAGACCTTATGTATATTTATGGGTGCCGTCCTGCCAGCTGGAATCTAATAGGGGAGAAAATAAACTGGGAAACTGCCTGGAACAGGAGGGTGGCGCTTCACACATCGACCCCACGCCCCGCTGGCACTGCTGGGGGGGTGTGTCTGTCTGTCCCTCATCCCCTGGGTGCCTGACCCTGATCCTGGGCATCCAGC